TTCTTTGTAAAGGCTGATTCTTGACCAAGATTCTTTTGAATAACTTGGTACTAGGTAAAAGGTTATACTTCACATAGGGGTATTTTTCCATTCTGTTGATTATTTATTCAGTTTTCTAGCCCCCAGGTGGCAAAGGAAACCTGGCAGAACACCTGGGAAATTATATCTTACTATCAGACAAATTTAGGGCCAACTGACAGAAAATAAGGTCATTGTATTTTAAATGTGTTCTGTCAAAATTGGATTAATGAATTTTCATAAGCAGATTTGCAACAGAAGTTCCTGCTGTGAATTAGAAAGCATACATGTATTAGAAGCATCTCTATTTGCTCTCCACATCCCACCCCTAACAGTATCTGGACATCAAAATGCTACAGATTTAGGGCCTGGCTTTCAAAACACTTAACCACAAAAACAGTTCCAGTAAGGAGGCACTTTCAGGTGGGTCAAGTTAAATGCTTTTAACAATATGGTTTATTTTTATTCTTTGCATTTGTAGAGGTAGGAGATGCTGCCTCCTGAGTAACCTCACCAAGAACTCAGGAAGCTCAGGGAGATCCCATTTGGAGATTTTGCACAGTTTTTCTCCAGGTTTTTCTTTTAACTAGGTGTTAGAATCAAGAACCCCAAAGTGCTCTCCAGACCTTTTGTGATCTCCGTTAAAAAATGGACCGCCAAATTCAATGGTTCAATAACTCCTTCCTATTCACCATAGTACAATCTTTCATTTGTTCAAAGCTTTCCTGTTCTACTCAAGTTCAAAGGGTCATGAACATTTTAATTCTTAATCACCCATTAAAGAAAGCACTAAAACGTCAAGACTAGACCCATACATACTTCTGAACTCACAATAAACAGCTGCATACAGTCTTTTCAAAACATTTTCTTCTGTTTCAGAGTATTTCAATGACAAAGCTCTTAGGAGACAGTCAAAAATCTCAACTGCTTTAATCCCTGCCTGATGATTTAAAATTGTGCAAAGTGAACAGAAATAAGTACTGTTCTGAGTCAGTAGACTTTCACATTCACCTTGCACCAGTATCAATGCTGGCACAAGGAAAAACTTCGGAAAAATCAGGACCAAAACATTCATAGCATTTTTTTCAGAAATACTTTTCAGAAGAACTGGACTCAGGCATCTCTCCAAGCAGTCCTGCCTAAAAGTAGTCCCAAACATTATTATAAATTTCTATGTTACTATTCTTTTAAAGTCTACGGAAGGAGCATTCTTGTTCAATAAAATGCTGCTTCTCCTCCCCATCCCTCAATCACACCAGATCTTATTTAGTCATGTAAATCTGAGGTTGTGTTTTCCCACAAGGTGTCACCACAGATTAACTTCACTGTAGGTCTTCATCAAAAGAATTTATATTTTAAGTTCTTCAGATATAAACAAAACATTCAAATTCTCTCGGTAGTACTAAAATCTTATATTGAAGTACATAACTTTGTAATGAAATAGCTCCAATTAAGGAAAATTGCAATGGAGTAAAGCAATGTCTATTTTTTGAAGTCACATAAAAAAATCAAGAAACTGGAAAAGAATTTCCTATTTCTTTTGGTTGCTACAAAAACAAATCCAAAGCTTCGCAGGACATTTTCTTCATTTCACCTGTGTTCAGCAATTAGTTTCATATTATGAACACACCACATTAGGAATTTTCTCTGTCTTCTAAGCACTAGATTTGACAACTAAGAATCCTTATACATTAAAGATATAATTTTAGCTCTGATCCTAAAAAGTGTTCTTTAGAGGTGAACCTGTGCTCATGTGGGGTCCCAGGAAAGCCAGAAATCTTTCAAGTCCTTCTGAGTAAAAGCGTTTGTCCTTGCCCTTTTGTTATTAAGACTGAGATACAATTTCAACGGCTTGCTATTTCTGCTGCCTCTTCTTTCTGTCCAGTTGATTTAGATGGTAGAAATACCAAAGTCTTTATAAGTTAAAGACAGTATTTTGCAACTAAGCATTTGTCCTCATCTGCTTAGCTGTGCATTGTCTGGATTAGGAACCACCACAAGTGAAATATTTAAGTTCCCTTTTTCCTGCATGCCCTGAAGTTTAATTCATTGCATTCACCAAAGTAAAATTAATTGGAGTGCATCTGTATTAAAAAAAAAAAAATCGTAGTGGGATTTTGGTTCAAGTGTCTTAGCAGTCTGCCTTTAAGTATATTTAGTTTGCAAATAGTGTTGTTCATGCTTTGTGGGTATTTGATTAGATGCTAGGATTGGGTGAACCTGTTGAATCTTTCTCCCATGCTCCCACCTGTAAGAAAATTCCTACCAGAGAGAGAGGTACTTTCCCCAGCGGTGTCCTTCTCCCCTCTCAACACCTGCCTCAAGGGCAGCCTGCATGCACTCATTTCAGATAGGAACTTGATGGACAATAACAGGATTAGAGTGCTGTAAACTGGCTTTTAGTAACATTATTAGTGTATGTAGTAGAAGTATAGTCTACAGTAGAAGTATTTCATTGCTATGTTGTACACAGTGGCAGCAGCGTAGGAAAGCTGTTCAAAGAAAGGAGATAATGCTGTTCTTACAGGTTACTTTTCACAACAGACCGACCCCAACAATAATTCTGATGCCATGGCGTGAAGGGAGGGATGCCATTTGGTATTTTATTTTGGTGTTTAAAAAAAAAAGATCCAGATTCTCAACCCAAACTGGTATTTGCAGCACAATCTAGGATTAATATATAAGAGCATTATGGGAAAAACCTACACATTATTTCTAAAAAGACAGAGAAAAGTTTCTCATGAAAAAACTTGAAATTTTATGTCACTAATTCTTTAAAAATGACCAGTCTTTTAAGTGGCTGGAACAAACTCCTGTTCTTGAAGGAAGTTTCCTTTTCCTCTTTCTTGCCAGTAAGTGCCAACTCCATACCCTGCAGGCAGGTGTGTCATGTAAGGAGTAGAGCACAAGACTCACCTGCCTCTCCTTATCTGTCTCTGGCTCCATCCCCAGGTGGGTAGTGTGCCATCATCACACCCCGGTCTCACAGGGTGTGTTCAGAGCAGCAGGCATTTTCCCTTCCTGCATGAACCTGGAGCACCACTGTTGCTCCCACCCATCCTTATCCTCACCTGGGCTTTTGATTTGCTCCAACCAACCTCCGTGCCTGGGCCACCAACCTCCATTTATGCAATACAGTTGCATAGATATGTGCCCCGTGTCTTACCGGCATTTCTTCTCACGTAGAGATGAGGGATCAGTCCCAAGGCTAGGGCAACTCAAAAGGCTGAAAGCAGATAGACTGAAACCTGGGACACAGACTGCAAAAGCTGTCTCAAAAGGCAACATTTCAAAGGTGAGGGACAGTGGTAGCATGGACCATAACAAGTACAGCTGCTACCAGGTATTAAAACAGAGCCAGGTCCCTATCCAGAGGCTGTATTTCTAGCAGAAGGTTGATACAGATACACATACTAATGTCCATGCAACCCTGGTACTTCACACCCCCAAGCCCTGGTCAGGGTTGGGACCATCTCTCACATGGGGGTTTGATTGAGCCTGGGGCAACAGATTCTCAGATGACACCTGTCCAATGGTTGAAATTGCTAGATGAAATCAGAGCAAGTCACACCAAACCCAACAACTTTTATGGAGAGGAAAGCCCTATGGGAACACGGTGAGGTAGGAGCTGACTTCTCTGCAAGCGCTGAGTTTGAACGTCCTGGGACTGACTGGAGATGTGCCATGCCCAGGGCTAGGTCCTTGTCCATCCCCTTTGTCCTGCTGTCCCCATTTCCCCCTCCATTTTCACCTGGACAGGTTCCTTGGTGAGGAAACAGGGTGTCCAAAGGGGCTGTTTTTCACCAACAGAAGGTTGAGCTTGCCCCTGCGGCAGGGCTGAGCCGAGTCCAAGGGAGGAGACAGTGTGGTGAGAGACCCTTCTGGTTGCTGTTAGCACAGCTGACCACAAGACAGACATGTTGCTACCTCCCTCATCACCTTGTTCATTCCCTACGTGTTGTTTTCTTGTGCCTTTTCTCAGCTAGACCTCTAACTCACAGCCCTCCCTGAAGACCACAGAAGGGCCTTGCCGCTGCCTTCAGGGCTCAGTGCAAAATCATCCCTCACCACAACTGCCCCTGTCAGCTGACAACAAGTGTGTGACAGGGTGAAATACGGAGGAGTAACCAAGCCACAGTCTTAGTGCTGCAGTGGCGTCCTACTGCCCTGGAGCAAGAGGCACTTGGGGTTTTTACCTTTTCCTGGGGCTGCATCCATAGCCACCCATCTCATGCGCTTGAGCTGCAACCAGTGAGGTAGTTGTATGCCCTTCCTTGCATTGCTTGCTAGCTAAAGAGCACCTGTCTTCACCCTGGGGCATTTGATTTTCACTTTAAAATTACAGTGCTGTCAGAAAAATAAGAGCTCAAGGAACTTCACCAGAGCTGGAAAGTCAGTATGAAACATTTCAGGTGCAAGGCCAAGATATGAAATCTCCACACGCACAGATAATGGCGCTTGTCACCTCTCAACCCTAAAGCCTGAATGTTGGAGGGGTTCTACTACACGTCCTGATGGCTAATGGCGTACATGCAGAGATGTGTCAAGCAGGAGCAGGGAGATGAAGAATGAAAATGAATATGAAAATGTTTTTAGTCATGCTAAGAGAGAAAGAGAATCTCCCATTTTTTCCTTTTATTGAAAGAAACACTTGTGCTTTCCCAGAGTTAGTTATCTGAGACGATAACTAGAAAGGAAAATTAGAAAGGAAAACAGACTGTGGAACAGTATGTTCCTGTTTGTACATAAAATTTTAGGGCTACATTCCCTCAATTAAACAAATCACCGAGAGAAGAACTACAGAGACCTTTTGGGCGACCCATCTGGTAGGTGTATCACCATTTATACAATTTGGCACGGAACAGCACAAAGCAAAGCTGTTGTCCTGCAACTGCCATCTCAGGAAGTGTTCAGCAGTTAGAACTGCTCACATCACAGTTTTGTCACTAGTACAGTACAGTACAGTACTAGTACCATAACAAAGGGTATCCTTCTTTGTCCCAGCAATAGTAAATCAATCAGTTCAGTTTTCTTCAAAAAGGAATAATTTAGTCTCTTTTTCAATGTGGATCACTCAGGAATTACTGAATGGGGAGCTGTTGTGATAGTAAATGGAACCCCTTTGTAGAAGAGGTAAATAAATAGTCAGTGTGGTATTTGCTCTTGCGGAACTGATGGAGTAAACAGGAAACCCAGTGGCTTTAAGTAGAGCTGGTCTCCTTGGGTAGGAAATGGATTTTTTTCAGTCCCAGTTTCTCTGCTTGTCTGAAAATATCCGAGTGCATTAAAAAAAGCAATTCTTACTGGATATATTTTGGTCTTGGAAAATGTAACATTGTCTACTTTAGTGCCTTTAGCAGTGGAATTTATAATCAGGCAGTTTGGTATTTATTAAATGTTGGTGCTCTCAGACAAGTTTAAAAGGTACTTTCTTCTCCACCAGAAGAGTTACTTCTCACTTGCACGTCAGTTCCTAGGTTCCTTCTTCTCAGCCACTGAAATAAAAACAAAATTCAGGCACCAAACCAAACATCAAGTGTTTTTCTGTGCTTTGGCAACTCAGAGAGGGTACTTCCCAATCTCTGTAAGTCTTCTGGATGAATCACTGGACTGTGGTAAACCAAAACCTGTCTTTGGCTCATTTTTGACAACTGCAAAGGCAGAGGCAGCCTTCTAATCTTCCACGATACCGTATCTCCAGTTAAATGCTGCATTTGCTCCATGAGTTAACGTCTTCACTGGTGGGTTGACCATCTGCCATTTGTTCTCCTCTTTCAGCTCTTCACAGAAACACATGCCCAGTGAAGGGATCTAGAAAAGAAGTTACCAGCAGAGTTACTAGCAGGGTCATTGCTTTGACATGAAAGAGGAGGCTTTGCTACAGAAGAGAGCAGACCCTGAGACTGTTCCAGGAGGAGAGACAAGGACATTTTGCCACTTCTGAAATGAACTAAAAAGCAGACTGGAGTCCTGTGGGGTGAAAGCTGAACTTGTGTCATCACCCCACATTCAGACTTGGGTTTGATGATCAAAATAATTCAGTCCTTGTTATCTATTGACTGAATTCTCTGGTTGGTCATACAAAAGCAGATGGTAAGGAAAATCCGAGTGAAGAATTCTGACACTGGTGATAATACACAAATAAAGTAAACAAAAAGCCTTGGAGACCAAGTCTCAAGCACAGGCCTCACTTGTGAAGCTGGCAAGAAAACCCTTCTCCACTTCATTCTATAGCTGAGCACCAAAGTTGTGAACTTACAGTGTCTCAAAAAACCCCACAGCTTCTTAAAGAGTGACTCATGGAATGTAGCTGCAGGTTACACTCACAACACCACGGGGAGGAGAGGGAGGGCTCTTAGCCCTGTTTATAAAGGAAGGAGGCTAGGTTCAGATGGAGAGGTTTCCTAATGTGACTCTTGTGTGTAGGTGTTACCTGGCATTGACTTTCCAGGAGAGTTGGATGAAAACCTTCTCCAAAGACTTAGCTGCTAGTCACATACTGTTCACTGGGAGAAAATCCTCTTGACCTCCAGTACTTTGCTAAAACTACATGAGATTCCCTTTGTAATGAGAAAGCTAATGTAATTAGTATTGGCATGCAGTTACACACGTGTCACCATGTAAGCAAGCTCCTTACTGAACATATAATAAAACAAAAAAAGCTTCCGTCTGAAAAAAAAAAATCTTCTTACCTTTCGTACCACCTGGGCAAAGTCGCTGCTGTCTCTGGCAGGGAGCCCTAGCAGAGGTCGGGTGAAAGATGCCAAGGAAGAGCCATGGCCCACAATGAGGATGACACCTGATACACCAGAAAAAACAAATAAAAGCAGTAAGGGTGCTGCAGCACTGTCAGGTTACCCATCAGCAGATAGGTATGGTGCTTTTTTGGGGCTGTTCATCTTTGCAGACCTCTATGATAATGTGGCAGGGTGTATTGTGCTGATCAGAAAGTGTGGTGTGTTGTAGGCATGCCAGTTAGTGAGAGAAAGTATTTGCTAGGAAAAGAAAAAAACGCTTTCCAGAAAACTGTGTTATCTTATGCTGAGCTACATCCCAATGCAGAAAGACCCAGCAAAGAGTATACTCTTGTGCTTTAGTACTCTACTGTCTTCTGTTCAATTTTTCATTTTTATCCCATTAATTGCATGTCTTTTCATTTAGCGTAGCCCAGGACAAGGACTAAGAGTCTACCTTAAGCTCTATGTGATACCAACAACTCATGTTAAATGTGTTTCTGTTGACAAATCTCTGCCAGTTCCTGCTACTGAACGTGTCTGTCAATATAAGAAGATTTGAAACCTTTACCTTTGCTGGGGCAAGCATTGATGATCTTTTTTATAACCACAGAGCTTCTGCTTATATATTCTTCATAACTTTCCGATGGTACCAGAGAAGAGAGTGGGAAGTTACCCCTGACAATAAAATCACAAATATATATTAATCTAGATGAATACTGGGACATTGTTAGCACTGTTGAATGACTATACCAGAGAAAAGACACTTGGTTAAAAGGATATAGGTTTATCTGCTGACTTGGCTAACATACTGCTACCTCAGCTTGCATGGAGCATTAGCTTCCCCTCCAGTAATTTCCATTAAATCTTATGGCTAAATCTCATAGCTCATAAAACACCAGATACAGGGAAAATCATGCTTTAATAAAACTTGTAGTTTACAGTGGAGATTATTTAAAGTAGGATTCATGTCTACAAAAAGCGTAAGGTTTGAGCAATTCTGTGGGCAAGGATCACTTCCCAGCAATGGACTGCAGGCTTGCGGAGCCACCCATCTCTAGCAATGCTGAGTGAGTTCAAACCAAGACAAGCCAGTGATGATGTGAATGCTTTCAATGCCTCAGTGTTAGTCTCCTTAATAAACAAAGCAAATCAAAACCATCAACAAATGAGGCATATCTGCATTAGCTGGACAAATGGATAGTGAAGACTTTCACTCCTAGAGTTAAAAAAAAAGTGTTTCCCGGGACATTAATCACAATGCACCACTCCTAAGTATCTGAGCACTTCTACCGAGACCAGGCATTCTTATTTCTTTTATATCCTGGGGTACTTCTGGCACTGAATAAATATTTCCCAAAAATGTAAGAGTCAGACCTTTGAACTGCTGCAAATCAGGGGACCCCCACAGGACTGGTAGGGCTTGGTTTGATGGACACCATGCACCCTTGACAGATCCGTTCCAAGGCTCCGCAGGAGCTTCCAGTACGCCAGCTCTGTCCAGCCCCGGGAGGCAGCAGGGAAGAGTCTGCAGGGCCCTGTTGTGCAGTGGCCAGCAGTGATAAGTGTAGGTGGCTGGGAACACCACGTTCTGGATGATGGGAGGCCCTGACAGCCTTCCCAGAGCAAGATAGGCAGCAGGACCACAGTCATTTGCTGCCTCTCAACGGGCTCCTGCTTTTGATATCTGCCCACATAGCTGATGCCTGAATCAGGGCTTCTTGGCAACAGAATAAAAAGTCCCCAAACTCACTTCCAATTTTTCATGTCATCTTCTCAATCTGTCTTCTCCAGGAATGGGAAGTGTTTACTGCTGCAGCTGGCAAACAGCCATTTGTCGTGATAAATACAGGGTGTTAACTTTTTTTTTCTACAAACAACTGCCCCCCTTGCCCCAGTGATTGTTTCCTTATTCAGTGAATAGGAAAAAGTGAAATTAGATTAATATATTGTTGTAAGTTATGGTATCACAGTGTACTTTCATGGGTGAGTCCTCAGTACATTATGTCAGCACAAATGGCAGAAGTAGTGAAAGGCTCATGCTGGATCATTAATCATAGCTAATAGTAATGCTGGCTAGATTGGACAGGTCTAGACTGGGGTACTCAAAACCAGTCTGCCTTTGGCAGAGCTGCAATTTTTTAAAAATGTGCTGTTCTGTTGGCACCTCAGTCCCTTCAGTATTAACCCTGTTATCTACCTACCAGTATTAACCAGCCATCTTGCAGCAAACTGAGCATCCCCAACACTGGTCTGGGTGGTTTCCAGGCTAAATAGCAACAAGAGTGCTCAGCCCAGGCTAAGGTCTCGGTGGTAGTGCTGTCTCCAGTGTGAGTGTTACAGGGCAAGTGAGATGAGGACCAACAAATGAAAATCCAGAGAGGAGCAGTGAACAGGGGTCCAGAAAGCACAGGCTGTGTGGGAGGATGGAAAGAGTTCAGCTCAGATGAAAGGCTGAAGAAGGACATGATAACAGTCTGCAAAATGCTGTTGTGAAGAGGAAAGAAAGGGTCTGTCCTCCATGCAAAGTATGAAAAGGGAAGAAATAAACAGATTATACTGAGACTGACAGTCTTTAACAGCAGGAACAGCAAAGGCAGAGTTTATCCTGCTTTGGGACAGGGAGCGCCTGCCAACCTTCTGTGAGAATGCGAGAGAAGAGAGAGGCAGAGTTAATCTCACCCAACCGTAGCTGCCTACAACTCAAGTGTCTGTCTAGGTCAATGGATGCAAGCCCCTTCAGAAAGCAATTCATGCTATCTTAAGTATCTAACATAGGCTAAAATGGAAAATCTGTCTTGGGAGTCCCCCTTTTTCCACCAACAAGAAGGATGCTAGCTAACCATCACAGCTAAGGCACCCAGCTCTTAGATATCTGGCCTTGGATGCAGCGACCTCAAGGTGATTACATCTCAGCACACAAAGCATGGGCAGCAAATGTTTCAGCACCACTCATGTTGTCTCTTAGTGGCACTGGAAGCAGGAGACTTTGGGTCAGGTCCACTGCTAACAGGGAATGCTGAGGGATTTAACCCAGTTGAAGATTGTCATTTGCAGTGGGTGAATACGGTAAAAACATCCCCTAGGACCTGAGGATTTTGAACCCCACACGTGATGGGAAGAAACTGGCATCGCATGTGCAAGTTTTTTGCCTGGATCTGAGTGAGCTGTGAGGGGTCTGACCTCTGCAGTTAATGTTGCTGCAGAGCTTCCCCTCTGAACTTCCCACTGCTTTGCATTTGCATACAAGTGATTTTGTACCAAAAAAAGCTAAGAAAAACAGTCTGTAAGTGATAAAACACACCAGAAAGCACTATGATCCAAGGAAATGAAGGATTTTATTCCTTCATGAAGTTTCAAATGAAGACACTTTCTTGGCTGTAAGAAATGCATTAAGAAATGAGAAATTTCCTTTCCTCCTTTCTTGTATATGTGGGAAACCCCATAGACACTCACTTTTATTAGCTGAGTAATTTCCTGGATCTAGCTGTGCACTTCTAACACAAGAGCAGCCTGGTTTGTGAGCGAGATGAGGAGCTAGATTGAATTGGAGGCTTATCATTTCCTGCCCTGCTGTGGTTTGCAAGCACTCAGAAAAGGCATCACCCCACCCCAAGCTGTGTGGGCCCCAAAAAGTCCTTGCTGAACACAGTATTAATCTTTGAGCAACTCAGAACCAAACGATTCCCCTCCCCAACAAAATCTGGCACAAACACAACTAGTAAAACACTGTTATCCTGCCTGCTCCCAAAACCAGGACGGTTGGCTTGTGTAGGGCTCACCTCTCTCTCCCCAGACCCCAGACCCTGTGTGGCTCTGCCCCAGGGTGCATGGGGGTGATCCCTTGCTTTCCCTTTCTCTTGTGGCTGTTGCCTCGGTGACACAAGCCAGTGACGTTTCAGGCATGGAGCTGTGCTCCCTGCCACCTCCCAGCCTGTGCTCACCTTCTGCCATGGGGCAGACTTCTTGCTGCTGCCCTGCTGACCCTCAGCAAAGGGCTTGCTAACATTTTCTAGGGTCACATTTCTTTGTCACTGAAAACCAGCGTGACAGGTTATTCTTCACATTTGTAAAGTGTGCTTCACATAAGGCAAAGGTAAAAGCAAACCTCCTTGTACCTGAGACTAGTGCCTGTAATGCCTGCTTGTGCATGACGAACCACGGGCCTGAGCCAGCAGATCTGAAGGCAACACCAAAGCAGTGCTGGTCCCGTACAAGTGTCAGATGTTTGTGCATGTGCTGGTGCGCCCACGTGCTACATCACACACATTGCCAAGGGTACATGTGTGCCTCTGTGTCAGAGCAGCAAAGTTGACTTTTGCCACGACAGCTGACAGCATAACTTATTTTGGGATCATGCAGACTTGAATTTGATCAGAATCACCCACTTTTTGCAATGCTCGTAATGGGTTATGACATATAAAAAGACGAGGAGATACCTCGGGGGGGAAAAAAAAATACTTCAACAGCTAGATACAGAGCAGTTACCTGTAACTTGTATCTATTTTGTAAGATGCCTCTACTAGTTCTGTCACAGTCATGAAGCTGGGAATTACTTTGCTTGCTTCCCACTTGGTCCATTCAAACAGTCCTGGTTCCACTCTGATTCTGACTTTTTGATCTAATTTAAGTCCTGCAAGAACAAGAAATATTGCTTAGGATGAGAAAGGTACACTCGAAGTGTTACATTCAGGCTACACATTCTGCCTTCTTTGCTGTAGTACTTTTGTTAATGAAAATGAATTACTTATTGTTAAGCAAAAGAGGATCGTGTTGATTAAATGAAGCCACCATCATCTTCTTGTTTGACTAATGTTGAGGCACTACAAATTATTACATTATTTTTTTATTATTATCATCATCATTATCATTATTATTTCTGGAGCTCTCTTGTGATGATCTGCAAGGTACAGAAGAAAATAGAATAAAAGATCTCAGTAATGCTGCAATCTGAATAAACTTTAGACAGGAACTGGTTTACCATTTTTATATAGCATTTTGCTCAGTGGTCCTTGGTGGGGCAACAAATTGTCCTACAGTGTTAGAAATGGAATTCTCTCTCCTGTCAAAAGACACATTATTTTGTTGATTATTCTCAAGAGAGGTTACTAAGTGGCACTAGTTCCCTGAAGAAATTCACTGCCTTCATAATTTTGACGTAAACATGGTAATAAACTGTGAACCTCTAGGAAGGGACAGGAGAGGAAGAAAGGAAGGTTAATGGGATCACACTCTGCAGACTGTACACATGTCAGCAGATTTATTACTGTCTGTATTACCAGCTACACAAAACCACCTTTTCTTCCCTGCTTAAATATAACCACAAATAACCACAAAGTCGTACATCTTAATTACTCGTCTCAGAGACCACAGAAGTTTGACGAAGACATTTCACCATGGCAAAAGCACCTGGCCGGTTTTGCTGCCTTACCCTGCAGTAGGTGTTGAGCTGTCTGTATGCAGCGGAGTGCGGGTGACGAGTACACGTAGCTGACTGTCACCTCCTGGTCCAGCAGAGCTTCCCCTGGACAGGAACAGCAAAGTGAGTCGTTCTTACATAAACTGCAATAGATGAGAAACTACTGCAAAATACTTTCTACAAAGAACAGCTTGGAGCTTTTCTGTTTCATCAGTGAGGGGTAGATGAATTGACATCCCATTTCTATCCTTTTTTTTTCCACTGTCAGCTGACGGAGCTCACTAGAAAGCTTATTCCAGTTGCAAATTTAATGTGAGAGTTGGAAAGGTAATTTCAGAAGAGTCACTCCAGATCTGCAAACAGCAGTTAGGCATTTGGCTGTCTGCATGTATAGTGAATCACCAGAGATATTTGCATCAGACTTGCATAGTCACGGTCAGCCGTGCTTGCTCAGGGAGCAGAAACAACTTCATCTGGTGAGTGAATTGAGTTGACTAACCCATACCGCCAGCCGCCAGGTACTTGTGCTGAGGTGACCACACTCTGCTGACCGTGAAGCTGCTTCCTGTGTCCAGTCCCTTCACTCCTCACTGCTCACTCAGTGACAACTGCATAAGGCATTAGTGCCTTGCAGACGAGCAGCGGGGCACAGGTAGTGTTGCAGCTTCTTTCTTTTAACTTCCTTTGATAGGAAGTTGCAGAATGGGTCTCAAAGTTGAACAACCAGCCCCACTCTCTATTTTACTATTTAATAACATCTTGCAGTGGTTGCCAGTAGAGAAGGGGTACCACAATGAGTACTGCTAAGAAGTTGTTTTGCTGCAAAGCCAGTATGAGCTTTTGCAGATGATGAAAGCCCGCTTCCAAAACCCTTACATTTGCAGTAGAACATTATCCAGCTTACCTATAAGCCTTGACTGGAAAATACCACAGCAAGATAAAGGAGGATCGTATTCAAAATGCTTCATGCTGTCTTTCCGCTTCGGCAGGGTGGAAGGGAAGTTCAGATCTGCTCTGTAGTATCTTCCTGAAACAAGGTGGGACAGTTTGCTGCAGCACGAGGGAGGCAGCAGCTGAATGTACAGGCATTTCATTATAATGGCTTTGTTTCTTCTGAATCGTTTGATGACTGGTTCTGAAAACTCAGCCCAGAGTGACATCTCGATCGACAAATGAAACAGGTCAAGGCCTGTTCTCTGGCCACAACGGCAAGTGATGAAGCAGAGCACCTGCCCAAGGAGCTAGTCTCTCTTCCCTCCACCTACAAACACCCACACTGTCTGTCCACTAGTGACTGACTAGTTCTCTCCCCAAACCTCGCCTGGAAACCATGTGAGTGAGGGGGAGCTGCCTTCAGCCGAGACCATGCCAAGGAGACAGCTAATAACTAAGTAATTTGCAGGATCATGGAACAATGCCTGAACTCATATGCCTACAGGATTATTTTAGTACTACAGACATAGTCAGTGCCTCACTGATGGAAAAACCTGGTGACTACTATTACTTTAAAGAGATCACATTTTAAGATCACAACACTGGCTTGTGAAATCAAGTCCTAACAAAATAGCACCTCTTCTGCAAGCTCTCAAGGAGCAGATGGAGGGCAGGAGGAGGAGAGGACAGGAAATCATGAAAATTCAGCTTTGTGTGGCTCAAATGAAGCAAAAATACACTCCATATTGTTATTCTTTTACCATTGCCAAAATGACAAAACCCAACATTTCCATTGAAGAAAAATGAAACCAATGAATTGATTATGCAGCCAGAAGGTACCACCGTCATTACCTAGTGTGAATTTCTCATACTTAATATAGGAGATCAACAGCATAACAATGGGGACTTTTAGCATAAAGCTCTCTCTTCTGAACTCCCATCTTCCTCTTCTCCTCCTTTCTCTTGAGACATATTTCCCTGTTCTGGGTCAGTACTCTTCACTCCAAAACATTATTTTTTTTGAGAGAGCCAAGAAATTCAGCTTTTCATTTTGGTCAGTTCTGACATCTCATTTCCATCATGGTTTGTTCTTGATCTTCTTCCCCAGGTTTGGCTAGTGACATGCCATGAATCTGGCCAACAGACCATGATTCTGACTCAAGCACAGAAAGGTGGAGGAGCCTGAGAGTTACCACCTTGTGTAGTGAGCAGTAGAGATTTTATGTTTTATATATCCATCAGTGAGACACACATCCATCAGTATCACAAGAGCTTTGCTTGTTCTGCAGAGTTTATTCACATAAACATGAAGGACTTTAGGACATTATGGACTGATTACCTGCAGGTCAAAGCAATGCTGTATCTGTCTTGCAAATGTTACTCACTTGTTTGTGTCAGTGTTTACATTTACATGTAGGAGACTGTATCTCTTGTACCCATAACTGGAGTTAATTGTTTTTGGTTCTGATTTGCTCAGATCCTCCGATTATCTTACTCACCATCTGCAGTCAAGCACTGTTGAAGCCAAGATTTGCCAAAGACCTGATCAACTCTTTCCCCATGGCGCATCACCAGCACACCTCTTCGCGGGGTGACATTCTGAGACAGATGTATAAAAAGGGTTTTTCATTACAATAATATATATAGACTGCATGAAAACTCTGCATTCCTGGATGCTGCCTGATGGAGGAAGGAGAAGCAGACCAGTCCTGGGAGGTTGGATAAAAGGCACAAAGGGGGAGAGAAAGAAGTTGCTATAATAGATACCTACCTTTAGGACAATAGTAAGCCTGACTGGCTCTCAACTGAAGGCAAATGAAGCAGATTGCTGATGTCCATGGGTACAGATTAGGTTTTAACTCTGTGTTTACACTAGTGAAAGGCAATGCTGATAACAGATCTTTTAATTCCAGTGTGGGAAGGAATTATAATTTTAATACATATCATATGGCTGATATCAACAAAAGAGTGAAACTAGCTAAGATTTAACTGGTAATGCTTTTTTCTACACCAGGACTAACACCAATATTGCCTTTTTTTTTTTTTTTTTTCCTAATGAAAACACCACTTTTACATTTTCATAACTGTGTGTCCAAGTCAACAGTGAACTCAGATCTCCTCCGAGGCCACTTTTTAACTCAGACTGCATGGAATTACAAGTAAGTTCTAAGTAGTTTGGGGTTAGTATACAATGCATGTTAAATACAGATGAGAAGATAAGGAAGAACAGGTCAAAGGCTTTAAAGCTTTTTCAACAGTAACCCATCGCAGTGTTACTGTTGTAGCACTGAGGTTAGCGATGTGTATCTTCAGCAGCAGAGAAGTGAATTCTGAAGAAGTGGTACGAAATTGATATTCATGTATTCTGCTAAGCACTATTGCATTTCTGCTATGAAGCACAAATCAACCGACACAAAATCAGAGTGTAAAAGTAAGGTTTTGTGGTCTTGCTCTTCTGCTTGGGAGGAACCCAGAGGCCAGGGAAACTCTAGACTGGAGACATGCACATCTGTAAAATGTGCTCCTCAGGTGAAGCAGTCGCTCTGCCACAGATCTGAGCTAGATAAGAGAAGCCAAGAACAATCAAGAGCCAGTGAAAGGATGTGTGACTTGCGCAGAATTTTCTGTCATACACACAGTGTCTTGGGAGGCCGCAGGATGGAAGTTCCCTGAAGGTGCCCTCAAGGTTTCTCTGATGGTAACACAGATGAACACAGGTTTATTCCCCAGCACAGCGAGAAGAGAGGCCATATGGCCAGCAAGCCCTAAGGGGATTCTGCAGCGTGTCAGTATGCCAGAAAGGACCGTCTTGGCATTCCTGACAGTCAGAGCCAATAAGGCAGTGCAAGTGCAAATGTTCTGTAGGTGAAAAAAGAGTCCTCATTTGTTTTGCTCTTCCTACCAGAAAACCAGTGGAAAACCTGGCCAAAAAAAATTGATACATAATGATTTTGAAACTAGAAAAAACATCTAATCCCATCAGTGTTGCTAACCTTTCCAGATAGTTGCTCTCTTGCTGCAGTTCTATGTAGTTATTTGCATTAGCTATGTATCTAAACATGCAAATGAAGAGGAAACATTTAAATATGCTAACATCTGGGACCATGTAAACCACTAGGGTGGCATCTGTAGAATCAGGACATAAAAGTAACAGTGAACAATGAGCCTCATTCTGTTCTAATTGCTCTGTTACAAACCCATATGAAAGTCAAGGGAAGCTGTGCCTGCATCTCACATGTCAGACTTGTCACCATACCTCTGCACATATTGCCCTGTAAGGCTGTGAACAGAGAAACCTGAGCAGAGAACTCATATATTGTGCTATTATGACAGAAATTACAGGAGTTTTATGAAAGAAGGCAAGACTAATATACATCATAGACTTTACAAAATATTTATGACGTTACACCATACAGTATGAGCATATGAGTGTGCGTATATATATGTGCATTGCAACACAACATGAAAAAGGAACATACTATTAAATTTACTATTAAATGCTTTTAATTAATAATGTAACTTGCACAAGCATATGGCATAGATAAGAAATGGAAAAAAGCCAGTTACCTGAAGAGAAAGTACATTGGTTATGCCCCTTGACATACTACGATTATGGACTTCTCCATTCAGCTTTACACCAGGTTCATTTTCAGTTTGGGTGAAGAATCTTGAAGCTGTTACAAAGACATATTCCCTGTAGAAAAAGCAGAAGCAACACACACACAAACTTATGGGCAAACACGCAAATAGAAGGGATTTTTAAGTCATGATTTTGTCTACAGGCATGTTCAAGTGAGGATTCATGTTCTATTCAATATTTTTTGCACACCTGCAAACCACTTTATCACTTTTCTCTTGATTTAGAATATGCCCAGTAAAAATGAGGTTAAAATATTATGAACTGATGGCATATATTGGGTGTAACACTGCTGAAGTGTGACCTTCAAGCAGGAGATACTACCTGGTTGCCTCCTCTCTGAGGTCTCAGCAAGAAGTGCACCTCCACTTCCCTACAGCTCTAATCTAGAAGTACCATCCGCCTCTCTGTCAGCTGCAGAGCAAAGTGCAGGAAGCCAGACAGATGCCTGCTGATACAGAGTAAATCAACAACACGAGGGTGGGCCTAAGGTGGTGGAGTAACCTTTGTGTGGTTTCATTTCAAGTAAACTTTGTAAGCTCTTGAAATGAGAAGAAAGAGAAAGCAGTGAGCTGAGCTGAAGACTCAGCCTGTCTGGCAGAACATGGTCTTTCAAAATTAATTTGGATATTCAGGTTGCTGAAGAGCAAATAGGGGTCATTCTTTGAGCAGCTGATATAATGAACTCTGGATGTCTGTGGGTGTGTGTCCTACCGCTTTTCTTTCAGAAATCTCACCATCCCACCCAGACTCCCAGGACCACCTTCACCTATGCCCACGCCACCTCCAGCTCCCACCTGGCAGCCCACAGCTCATGGTGAGGAGGAAATCTGCCACAGCTCCCCAGCAGGAATAGCGGCTGACATAAAGCAACATCCATGAAACCCCAACTTACCTGTGCTTAACCCACGTGTCTGACTCATTGGCCCTCTCAGTGTAGTTTTCAGGAAGAAAACCCCTGCAGCCGGTCCGATGGGAGGTCCCTATCACCCAGCCTTCACTCACGTCAGACTGCTGCGTCGGGTCAACGTAGATGAAGTCCCCAGTGTTGATCATGAGTTCATCGATGTTCTGGGGCTTGTACTGGAAGAGGGCCCTCAGTGTCTGGGGGGAACACACAGCAGGGTCAGGCTACTGCCCAGAGCATGCTTCTGCATGTACCGCAGCAGTTCAGGGGATGCTCATTCGACTCGCTACTGGACATACTGACTGGTACTGTTTTCCACTTTGCAACATGCTCTTTAATGGCACTTCAACAAAGAAAAAGGAAGATGCTACTGCATTTGCAGTATGTGTAAAAATAAGCACTTGTTTTTCATTAACATAATTTTCCCCCCAACTAGTACAGACTTATTAGAAAGCAAATATAGCAAAAGCATTATCAGTTATTTTTGTGATTGATTACTTGCAGGTCTCCTGAATATGACCAAAATCCAGTATGAGACTTATGACAAAGCGATGTACTGATCTGACTAAAAAGTATTGATCATCCCATAATTTAAATTTGAAAATGAGAACTGGAAAAATGTGAACTAGTTTTAACTAAGAATCTGTTAAGCAGAAAATCATCAGAGAGAACTGTGCCTTGATCACAGATATTTAATCTGTGCAGTTTCCATCATGTCTGGAACAATCGAGAAAACTAATTTTGCTGAATGGAATTTTACTGCAAAGCTGTGACCGACAAATCCTAGTAAATATTTAAGAGTCATCATTTTCTGTATCTTTTATTTTCTCATGTCATGGTAAGATTATTTTTTCCTGCTGGAGTTTGGAATTAGACCTTGCTGACATGCAGGTCAAGCATAAAGGTATCTTCTACTGATTCATGAGTACAAGTTTTCAGTCAAAAGAGGTACTTGAAATAACCATGTTTTTTGAAAGACTGTACTGTGCATGCACTGATTTTCTTAATGAAAAAAAAGGCAAGATGATTGTAGCAAAGCATCTGCCTCTGGGTTTAGGAAATTAAGCAAATCTGATGACAGTACCTGGTAATGTACAAAACGCATGTCCCGTGAGTAGAGGGCAGCTACCCACTGGCAGGTCTCCCCTGGGTTAATACATTTGGCCAATTCTTCCAAAGTCTTTTGATGATGAGGATAAAACTTGTGAGCCAAGGTAAGGTGGAGTTGCTTTAGGCAGGGCTTCACATGGCAATCTAGGAATAAAACAACCATGTCACAACATAGAAGTAAAGGTCATTTAAAGCTCTTCTTATTTTATCCTTACATGCTTTGCATGATGAAAGAAATATCACAGTAATTTGTAGTAGAATAGATCATAGTTTTGCTGAATAATGGTTTTGCAGAATGTCACGGGTTTAATCACACCAAAATAATTCACAAATCTGGACTGGATTTGCTCCCTGGTTCCATCTGGGAGAAAAAAATGAACAGGATTTGAATTCCTCTCCTAGTCTAAGATCTATTGAACTTGTTTTTCTCAGATGAAGCTATGCTGAGTCTGTGTCCTGTCAGTCTCCACTGGTGATGCAGTTTCCCTTGGATGTCACTGGAATGGGAATTAAGACCTGTTTCTCAGGGATGAAGTCACCAAGGGAATGGAGGTCTAGGAATAGGGAGTATTATATCCTTGCCCATCTTGGATATCCCAATTGATGGCCTATCAAGTTACACAGCCAACCATTTCAGCTTCTAGACAAAAGTACTGTGTCTTCAAAGTCTAAAACATGCTCCCCTAGCCACATTATTTTCAAATCCGTAAGAAGAAAGGGTGCTTGCTGGCAGTAAGACATGAGTTAAGTTTCCCTGGAAGACAGGGGAGATGTTTTTTGTACCATGACTAAGCATTTGTTCTATGACCACCGATTTTCCCTGATGTTGGTCCTACCTGCCAGGGCTGAAGCTTCTGATGAGAATGCCAGAGCAAACTCTTTGAGTATATTTGCGTGGCTGTCACCAACGAAGAAGCCAAGGTAGCTGGTGGATGTGTGTAGTGATAGGGAAATGGATGGCGGAAAGCACTGTGAGAACCTGTCACCGATTCTCTTTAAGGTGTCATACAATAATTCCACTTTCTGATCTTCACACTGAAAGAAAACAGAGGAGGAGCAGACTTTACCCACTGGCTCAACAGCCACTGTGGTAGCCTGTCTTATACAGTAATACCAGAAAACAGTGTGGGCATTAGACTTCCTGAGAAAGACAACACACCTACAAACTTGCCTGAAATTCCTGGTATAAAAATCAGTAATATTGGGCTGTTTGATCAGCACAGTATCTCGTGCTAGAATAGGAGATGAAGCCTTCTATCAGGAGGTGTATCTAGCCTGGGTAAGAAAGAACCAAAAGATTTTACCATCTGACAAGTGTGCAGTAACCTGTCTGAAACAAGTCAGAGATCATGATTTCCCTCTTCAATTCTAAGTAAGAATTAGTGTTATTACTATCCCAAAGTCCTTAGCTGAAAACACTCTTGCTAAAACTTCAAGATCTCGGATGCTGAGCAACATACCTAGCAAAATTCATCAGACATCTTTGTCATTATGATCCTTAATGCTCTAATCACAGCAAATTAGAGGATTGTACAGAGCCACGCTTCTACAAAAAAAAATGGCAATTAAGAAAATTTAAGAAGTGAAGAGACAAAGACTGAATTTGTGCTATCCAGCCAAAGACAGGGACATTAACAGTGCTCCGTTTCTGGGCTGGTTTATTCTCCTCCACAGAGCTATTTGTTCCGTTCAGCCTTTACACTGCATGAAGCTGCTAAAGAGGAAGAGCAGAAGAGAAGAAAGGAGCTCCTCCTGCTTAGACTGTCTTTCTCTTTTGAGCATTTCTCAGGCCACAGGGAGGAGGGATGCACCAAGGGGGCATTGGGCAGACTGGGTTGTGGCAGGACCGGGTCAGGTGGGATCCTACAACAGGGCAGGTGCCATGTAGCAGGTTCCTCTGAGGCCAACGAGCCCAGGAGCTGCAAAAGACGTGGGGAGCCAGGAAAGAGGAGAGGGTTGGATCAGGAGAAGGAGGTGGGAGCCAGGTCAGTGAGTCCTGCTTTCTGCCTGTGAAGTGCCCAGGTCAGATCTTGCTGGCAGCTGGGAGCAGTAGCACCAGAAGATGCATTTATCCCTGGAAATATGCTACCTGAAATGGGACTGAGATACGCAAGGTGAGAGTTGCAATTCAGTTGTCTCTTCCAGGGACAGGCCTTTAAACTTGACACCTTTCAAGAGCATGGCATTCATTATTAACTAATGATTTTGGTTCTGCAGAATTATGATTAATGGCCATGGGGTACTAGTCAATATTTTGCAACAAAATACTCTTATTTTCACTGTCTATACTTAGTGTCATGGTTTAGCATAAAAGTATGATTAACAGCATAACTTCTGTCCAACTACTCTAGCTCATGTCTGTTTCAGCACATCTCAGCCATCATGTGCCACACCATCAACATGCAAAAACTGGATTCTAGGTGGCTCCAGATTTTTCCAGACCACTGACTCTTTGGTGGTCTTTGCTGATACTAGCATATTCACCTATGTGGGAGAAGCAGCTCTTCTGGAAAGTTCTCTAGAGGGTTACCCAGCATTCAGAAGGCCACCAAAGTTGTCTACATCCTATGATAACACTGTCACTGCTGCACAGCTGGCTGAAGACAGCCACTGCTGCCCTGGCCAGGGAGGTTTAACATCTTAGATTGATGCAGCAAAGGGCACAGTCTCTGAAGCCTGCTGATAGATGCATGTGGAGAGCAGTGCTTCCTGCTGACAGGCCTATGTGCAGCCTGAACCGCACAGGGTTGCTCTAGATGGATGCTAGGCATGTATCACTCAGCTACCCTGAAGCATTTCACACTGGCCCCAGCATCCAATTTTTAGGTGTGCTGAGGTCTAAGGTGGGTAGATAAAGTGGGTGGTGGGAAGAAAGCCCCTGGTGCCTACACAGGGGCTGAACACTCAAATATTAAACAAGCAGGCCTGGACATGAGTCATGTCAGCTTGATCACCAAGAAGTTCTGGTTTAAGACAATGGCAGGCGGCCCAGTTTCACCAGTAATTGATATTTGACCCTTGCACATCTTTTGTTCCTTACCGTGAAGAAATCACAGAGAGTGATGTGTGGAAAATTCTCATGGGCTCTGTTCTTCCCGCACTGGTGCTTGCTCGCCTTCCAAAACTCTTGCAGGTGGTTATGCAAACGGCCGGTGGGACACAAGTAAAGAGCATACTCTTGAGGGATTGGGTCTTCCAAAGAGGGATCATTGCAGTGGGAGTGCAGCCTGAAATCAAGAGCAGATCACAAAGAGCAAGTGTTTGCACCGCTTACTCTTGTTTCCTGTGGTTGAAGGCATCCATAGTAGAGACCAGAAAAAGGAAATACAAGGTTGTTATTTTCTTATAAATGAAAAGCTAAAATAAGAGGTCCTTACAAATTTTCTCTCTGAAGTACTAACTAATGGAGAATGAAGTTTTTTTCTGCTTAATTTTTGTGTACTTTACATTTTATTATGTGCCTTCACTTCCTTCAATGTCTGAAAATGAAACACAACAAAAAAAAAGTGGTTTTTTAGTGTTTTTTGGGTTATTTTAACCCCTTTTTCATGACTCAGAACAGAGGAATGGAGGAGGAAAAAGAAGCAATGTGTAGAAAATGTTAAAGAATGACAAAACGAATAACTGAAGATCACAAAAATACGCAGAAAGAGCTAGACTTTATATTCAGCTGTAATAACACAAGACAAACCAGAAAATGCACAAGCAAAGATCAGAAATTTGTATCCCATGTGATGATATCCTTCACCACCTTCTTCACATGCTGTATGTTTGGCTTTGCAGCTGTTGGATAGGGACTGATTGTTGTAAAGTGTGGTAACATCCCTGACAAAAAATTGTTTGGGAAGAACATGCCATTCTCAAATGTGTCCTCAGACTTTTCACCAAAAAAAAAAAAAAAAAAGCGCAATCAAATTAAGGGGGGAAAAAAAGCACAATGCAACTCAGAAAGTGCAAGGAAAGATTGGATTTAATTTGAAGGTGGATTAAAGCAAAAAAAAATCAATTATCAACATGTGAATAACATATGAATACTCTGTGGGAGTCTTGGTACAGAGGAAAAATCTTAGGGATCATGACTAACAAGTGATTTTGACTCTAATGACACATCCGTCTGATCATCAGCCTTTCAACTTATTTTATAATGAGCCTTTCTCAAGGGAAGAAGAGGGACTGTTTGCCTTCAGCCATTGCCATTTAAGCCCATGCTATTACTGCACACATTTGTAACAGCAGTCACAGGTTTACAGATATTTTCCCTGTTTCCTTCCTCTTTCCTTTGGGACATAGAGCCCAGATTCCCCCTGGGGGCCCTGTGCCCATTGCCCTTGGTCTGAGCGCCTTCATGGACGGGTCCCTGTGCGTGCCTGCAATCCTGGCTCAGAGACCAGGAACCCCTTGCAGAGGCAGTGAGCAGATCTTGGCAGCCATGGTCATAAATAAGTAGGAGGCTTAAAACTGAGAAGTGTCTGCCCAGAGCAGCCAGTCCCATGAGTTGACTAACGTCACTGTGGCAAAAGTAGCTGCTTCTGCCAGTGACTGTCTTTTCCTCCTCAGCCTTTTTGATTTACCCTAGACCTCCTGCAAATAACCTTGCTTATCAGAATAAGTACAAATACAATTATTACTTTCATTTTTTCTTTCTTTCTAAAATGAAAAAAAAAAAAACCCAACCAAAACCAAACAACTCAGATGCAGGGCTTTTTATGGCAGGTAACTTCAACTTCATGACTTTGCACATGAACAAGGACTTTTAACCAGGTTTAATGCAAAAACACTCCTTAGAAATCAAAGGTACTTACCATTTTGCAGCGTCTTCTATTGTATTTTGTCCAGTAGCAGCCAAGGCTTTTTGCCTAGAAAAAGTGGATTAATCAGAATAACAGAAAGAAAACTCATAGAAAGTAAAGAATGAACATGCTGTGGTCACTGAGTCTCTTTTCCTGCACAGACAGGACCTTCAACAGCTAGGTTTTTCTTGTCAACATTCTGTAGCCCTCCAGACAGTTTTTTCCACTGCAGGTCTTTAATTCCTTGAAGACTGGTAACCTGTCCTCCCCACAGAATGTCCTCCTCTGTGTTCTGGAGGTGTTTCCCTAGCAGTCTTACTGAATATATGAATTTTCTTAGGGCTGAGTAAACCATCCATCCATGCACTGTAAGAGTAGGGTTGCTCGGTTCATAGGATAATGTTCTGGTTCAAGATACCCAGGCTTGTACACATAAACAAACCAAAACATACTTATTTTAGGGTTTGAAAATATTGGATTGAGCATCTCCCATAGGCCAGCATTGAGCTAGTTCTAAGTCACCAGTTCAGACCAAGATGAGGGACAATATCTCACATTTCTCTCTGTTAATGTAATTGTCATACTCTGGGATTGGATTTGATTAGCATTTGTTTTCTCACTAGAGATTTCAAAATGCCAACTATGTGCTACACATGATCAAGTCTTTGTGACTAAATGTTAGGTGATGGGTGAAGGATTATAGTGTTTAAGTAACACGTGCACCCACGAACGCCATTTCCAGCCATGTAATGCACCTACAATCTTCTCAGAAGAGACATGAAGAGGAAGTAGAGACAGTGGACACGGAGGAAAACCTGCTAAACTCCTTGGCATTTGCTCATCTCTTTCCTTCTCCCTTGAGGTCATTCCTTCTGGTCACTAGGTCCTGAGGGCATTAATTCATTTAACCTCCTCACAGTTTTATCATCCATCCATCCATCCATCCATCCATCCATCCATCCATCCATCCATCCATCCATCTCTGTGACACCTGAGCACGCACCAGCACTGCAATGAGTGCATTAAGCTGCAGAACTCAAGTTCATCCTTGGTGCTTCCTCCTAGCCTTCTGTCTTCCCTCTAGTGCAAAAACCACACATGGGCTTGTTAAAAATATTTAAATATGCTTATGTGCATGTGCAACCATGTCTGGGTCTTTAGTGGGCACTTAACATGGACAAGCATTAATGTGAGCCTTTCCACTCAAGCTTTACCTTCTACCTTTCTTCTCTGTAAAGTAAATCAACTACCATGGCCAAATCAATGAAAAACCATGGTCTAAACTAGCCCTTGTCCTCTGTGAATGAACATCACCACCCATTTTCTTTCCACACCTCTGCTGGGTCCCTCTTCTCCATCACATCAAACATGAACAACCTGAGTTTTTGTTGTTCTCCCCATGCAGCCCTTACTACCATGTCCTGTTGAAATGTCAGCATCTGCTGCTGCTGCTTGGTCAGTGACGCCAGACTTTGTCAACCGCTTGTTACGCCTCAAAGTCAGTGTTTTGCTGCCTCATGCCATTCTGCTCCTCCCACTTGGAGCGAAGCTCTGTGCAAACCACCCTGAAGCCAAATGGAGTTTGACTTCAGTTTTTATCATAGAACCTGCAAAAGACAAGCGAGACCTGAGACCATAGATGGTCAGGCTGCTCAGAACTATTTCCTTGCTCCCTTATGCTCCTCTCTGTGTCTGTTCCCACCTTTTCTCTCATCATATACTTTGGCTGTAGGATTCTTTCCAGCAGGGTTTGTAAAGCCCTTTGCATCAGGAGATCATTAGGCTGTGGCTAGACATTCTATGCTTCCAAGAAGACTGAAAGATAATGCAACTCTGTATATACCATTTTCTCTTAGAGAGTAGGACCAAACTACTGAAAATCTGTATTTAAAATAGTGTCTTTACAGTGAGAATAAATTGGTTCTTCCCTAAAGCAGAAACTGCCGACACAGTTCAGTTCTGTGTAAGCACTAGGGGAGGCCCATTTTCTTGATCTGATGCGAGGCTTGATCCTCACACATTTGGTTTTTGTTCTTTGGTGAAATGATTCTTTGGCATGCTGGTTCTACAGTATGAAAGATCTTGTAACATTTCATCCCAGCCTCAATTTTCTCAGTCCAGGACATCTCAAAAGAACAACTTTTCAGTACTTTCATGTATGGTTCAATCCAGGAACTAAAGAGACACTTGAAATTGTAATCAAAACTCTGAAGGTCTTAAAGTCAATAAAAGCAAATAAATTTTTTTTAAAAAGCTTTTGGACATTTTGTCATTTTATGTCAATTTGCATAGTACTTCTGCTGCTGATTCTTGCTTTTGACCTGGGAAGCACAAAGCCATCTCAGTAACAGAAGGAAGTGTTTCAAAGGGGATTTGAAGAACATCACATACAGGACAAAAATTAAGAAAACTAGCTACTACTTTAGGGTGACAAAACTTGTAGTATTACCAGAGAAATGATGATCCAGGTTTTCAGCTGCACAGCTAAAATTCCACTGTGCATAACTGGGAACAAGGGAGTCACAGTTCGCTTGTAAGCTGTGCTCACCGTGTCTAAAGTTGATCCACTAAAAACAGCTGTTCCTAAAAAAGCAACACAGCACTTACAAATGGAGCCTTTTCAACTTGCTTAATTTTCAGTGAAAAAGAGAGAGATATTGCTCTCCTTTATAAAATATTTTTATGAGGAGTTATTTGACATTTAAGTAAAAAAAAATTATGTTTCGAACAGTTGAAACCATAGTGTCCATACTTGCTCTTCAGAAGGTGGAAAATCCTCCCCCAGACTTCCCTGTCCAACCAGAGAGATGTTTTAAGGAGGAGTGACCATCACATTTCTTTTTTATTAATTTGGTTAGCTGCCACCAGTTAATCTCTCATCCATCAGGTTGCCTAGAATAGTGTCTCATTCTTTAGTATTACATTTTCCAGGTAGGACATGCTTTTGGAACGAGATCATAATTCAAGACAGGAAGAAAAATTGACAGACTTAATGTGGCATCTTGTTCAGGAAAGCATACTCTTTTAAAACAGATTCCAGTGACAAAATCTAGCATGAGGTCTTTGCCAGGCTTGAAAAAACTTTGGATAGAACTTACATCCACATTTAACTCCTTATAATAACAGTGATAAGCAGAAAAAAATGGAAGAGGACAAACCCCAAGAGCAAACTATGAACATCAACTTCTTAACTCATTGTGAAGTCTCTCAAAGATGTGGAAGAGCATGTGTCTTCAGATATACACACTATAAAAATTGTTATAGAGCAGGTTGTTTTTGCTATATGAGCAATATACTTCAAGAAATTCAAAGCAAGACAGGTCTGACCTCTGTATAAGGACATCACTCCCAGGAAGTAGCACATTCTCTTCATGAAAAAAGTAAGCTGCTTGCTGTCAGGATCTTATGAGAAATACCTCTTGTATCTTAAATACTGTGTAAAGGCAGCTGAACACATTACTCACGCGATATGAGCTGGGAATCCTTTGGTGAGGAGAGACTCGAGCAGTGCAGAGCTGCTTTTGCTCCTGTGCTTGTTGGACACCTTTGCATACAGCTGTGTCTCAGCCACCGCCATCTCCTCCGCTCTTCACTGACCGTGTGCTGAGTGCTGACAGAAACTGGGAGGTGGGAGGAGGGTGTGAGGGAGGGAGGGAGGAAGAAAATGAGAGAGAGAAAAAGAGGCAGCTCAAATAAAAAAAACCCTCAAACCTCTTGTGATCTTTTCTGACAAAAGCTGACATCCTGTTTTCGTAACGTCTGCATCTCTGAATTTTTGTTTTAGGGTGGCTAAAAAATTAAAATCTATCTGCAGGTATTTCTCATTTGCCCCAGCAGAACAATTTAAAGGTAAACACCAGAGTCAGGGTGGACTTGCTGGAGGGTCTGAGATGGGATCTTCTAGCCTTTAATTTTAAATTGTTTTCTGAAAGCCAAGATACCCACCTGAGCTGCTACTGCAGTGTGGGGATGATAAATGGGGATGTGCTGCACCATTTAAGAAGTTAGTCTGTAGGCCAAATTCTTTCCCTTTGGGCTCAGTTTTCATGTTCTCCTGTCCTCATCATACATGGCTCCTGCTCTGGTCTTCTCAGCCAGTCAATGAGCTGGCCAACTGTGCAAGGTCAAACCCAATGTCCCATCTAGACATCATGCCCTGAGGCTGGGCTTGGAGCAGCTCAGGGTAGCAGTGGTGAGAAGCCTGTCTTTCCCAGCGGTGCCATGGGAGCCTCTGCAGAGCTGTGCCTGCTGGTCCCTAGGGTTTCCAGCATGGCTACAGCAGGTAAAATGGTTGGAGTTTCTCTGGCCTGGGCTGTCCTCACTGACAGCTCTCTGGGGAGCCCCCTGGGGAGGACAGGACCCCATGGACTGAGACGATCACCTAAGCTGCTTGGTCTCCTGAAACAAGTCCTCTTTTTCTCCCACTTGGCTGAAGTTCCCCTTGGGGCACCTGGTCAGCTTGGGCTGCTTCTCCAACCATTTGTCTCTGAAGCCCAGTGGAGAGAGCATCAGAGCACTGTGAGCAACTCAGAAAGTGCAGCTTTCTTTATACATTTTTGTCTGCTTTCTTTCTTTTCCTTCTTCCCCCTACCCTCCCCTCTGTCATCAGTATCTCTTCTTTTTTTTTAAAAAAAAAAAAGAGCCAAATTATTACTACTCCTGAGCAGTTTATGAAGCTGAGCATATATTTTCATTTTCTAAATCCCAGAGTACAAATGAGTTGTTGCTTCAGAATCAGGAGATACAGCTTGCAAAGTATTTCCAAAATACTGTGCCATATTTAATTATAAAATTTATCCATAACTAAAGCATCAGGTCTTTTTCAAAAATCCTCTTGAAGTCTGCTCTTTGCTGCAAGCACACAGCAAAGGCTAAACCAAGCGAAGCAAGAGCCAGATGAGCCTATGGGCCTTGTGTGCTGAAGCAACGAAGCACCTGGGGCTTCTGCCTTCTGCTACCCACAGCTCTGGGCAGGCTCCTCTTTTTAGCTGCGTGAGTTTTGATAAAAGACGGGCAAGCAGGAGCCTATGCAGTTTGTGGTGCTCCCTTGTTGAGGGGTTACAGAAATGCTTGCAAATACTACAATATTACCTGATGCTCTTAGGCTAATTAAAAAGCATGCTGAATTTTTATCTTCCCCTTTCTGTAGCCATGCCATCCAGAGCTACCCGATACCCCTCACCAGGTTGAATTACCCAGGCTGCTGCCATAATGCCGTATGTGACAGATGACTGAACCAGCCACGGGCAGCTCAGTGAAAACCTTTCCAGAGCAGACTGGCTTAGCACCCTCAGAATTTCCTTTTGGTTTCTTTTGATAATGAAGAAAGAAAACAGTTTTGCTTTTAACTATGACTTCTCAGGAAGAGGTGAGTGAAGCTTTGGGAGCATGTGATATCCTCTAAATAAACAACGCATCAGTGTTTAGCTTTCGTGTAGTATACTTCACAATGCTATTTTGTATCCTGACAACTTATGCACCACTTCAATCGCTTAAAAAATTATCTAAAAATCACGTACAGCAAGCTGTCCTTTTTGCTGCCTTAAAGTTAGCAGATTCTGTATAAAATTTAATTTATGTTCTTTTTTGAAATGTACATGAAATTTTATCAAATGAAAGAGCAGAAACGTCATTGCAGTTTTTGACTGAAAGGTTAAAAGATATTCCAGCTGACTTAAAAACACAGTGTCACAGACAAAATGTATTTTTTCCCTAAAATGTGTCATTGTGAGCATTTTCTGGGACTGAATCTGCGAACACACTGCTTTTACATCTTACCAGCACCACTATCTTTAATAAACTTGGACCTATTTCACAACACTGTGAGTTCAAAAGTCTGAATCCTTTTGCCGGTGATGGTGTGCAGAAGCAGAGTCAGAAATTAACATTTCAAATCTATTTATCTTGAATCCTAGTGTGGCCTGTTTTAATTGTTTTTCACTGTGTAGAAAGCAATCAAAGGTTTTCTGGAGTAAAATGTGGTGGGCTGCTGCATGAGGATCCTGTCAGGTGCTGTGCAGGTGTCATACACTTTTTAGTTTTTCTCTTGTTTCCTATTGCAATTAAGGAGCAGGGGATGGATTCACACCCCCAGTGTGAGTTATTAAAAGTAGCTACCAGTGCTTAGACAAATTTGGGCAAAAATTAACTTCAGTAGCTTGCTGGTAAATTAATTGTAAGCTCCTCTCATGAATGTCGAGTGCATAACTTAATGTACTGCATCCAGCTTTGGAGTCCTCAGCACAGAAAAGACATGGACCTGTTGGAGCGGGTCCAGAGGAGGCCACAAAAATGATCAGAGGGATGGAATACCTCTCCTGTGAGGACAGGCTGAGAGAGTTGAGGTTGTTCAGCCTGGAGAAGAGAAGGCTGCAGGAAGACCTTATTGTGGCCTTTTGGTACTTAAAGGGAGTTTATAAGAAAGATGGGAACAAACTTTTTAGCAGGGCCTGTTGCAATAGGACCAGGGGTAATGGTTTTAGACTGAAAGAGTGTAGATTTAGACTAGATACAGGAATAATTTTTTTTTTACAATGACGATGGCGAAACACTGGAACAGGTTTCCCAGAGAGGTGGTAGATGCTTCACCCCTGGAAACATTCAAAGCCAGATTGGATGGGGCTCTGAGCAACCTGATCTAGTTGAAGTCGTCCCTACTCTGGGGGGGGGGGGGGGCGCAGGGCACACGGTGACTAGATGATCTTTAAATGTCTCTTCAAACCCGAATGATTCTCTGATTCTATGATAACATTTTACAAGGAGATTATCTTTTTGTTTGTTTGGGTTTTTTTCTCCTGTTGAGTCAGGTACAAGAGACAAATCCCACTACTGGAAGTCCTGAAATCATCTCTATTACAGAAGATGAACCGCCAGTACCAGAAATTCAGTTTTCCTTCAAAAGATTTTTCTTCATACCACAAGCAAACGTGGACCCCAGCGCAGATGGACCTGGTAGGGATACTGCACAGCTTTTTGACCTTTGGAATCTAAATGGCTATGTAGGTCTTTAGCCTTGCAAAACTATGCTTGCACACTCATTCAGAGAAAGCAGTCACCTAGAGGAAGAAGAAACACAACCTCGTTCCCCCAGCAGTGAGTTTTACCAGCATATTAACAGGTGATGACATCCTGTGTCTGCTTGCCTATGCAAGCATTTTTCACAGACAGATTATTCACACCCTTCAGCCACAAAGCAAATATTTGCCCACACTTTTCAGACACATTTTTAAATGACTTATTTGAAATTTTACAAACCTGGAAATTGGTCCATTAAAAAACTGAGTATACAATACAGCAGCCTTGGAGGAATAGCATGCATGTTTGTTACTTCCCATAGTTTTCATGGCAAAAACCCCCATGAACTTCAACAGAGGCAGGCTGATCATCAAGGATGAAGATAGAGCAATTTAATTTTCTAGTCCATTAGCTACTACAGCTGTCTAAGATTTTTGGCATACCAGGCATCATTGCCAAAACCAGTTACTCAGCTGCTGCTGAGAGAGTCTGTGTAGGCTGAGATTTACTTGTGATTCTATAAACACTGTGAGACGCTCCTCATCTTTGACTGATTGTGTCTGCCAATCTCAGATTCAGGGCTTGAAGAATGAGGGGTGAAGAGCTGCATGAATTAAAACTGAAGACAAGGTTCTGCCAGCTCCTGTATGCACTCATGACCAAGCTGTGTATGCTATTTACCCATAGTTTGTCCTTTGTATATCAGAATACATTTGAAACAAGTAAAACACTCATTATATTCAGTGGAATCTGTTGTCTTCCAGAGTGACAATACCTCTAAATTGAGGTCAGGTATGGAGGTGGTTGGTGAGCAGGACTGGTCCAGCTCATGAAATGTATTCAGAATTTACTACTGATGCATATTTTAACTTCAGATGCATCTTTTTTCCATGAAAACTCAAAACTCACCCTTGAGCCATTGCTCAATTCTCTCCTTGTTTTTACAGCAAATCTTTAAACAGATCACCTTTTCCCACAATTTTCAAGACTAGTTTGGGAGTCCTTTTTTTTTTTTTCAAATTTATCTTTCTATCATTTTTAGTTAACCTTGTTTCCAAGTCCAAAAGAACCACTGACTTTCCTTCTCCTTGTCTTGAACACCTATTTACTAACTAGTCTTGTCTTTTTCCAATATCCTTGCTCCTGTTCAAATCTTTAGGTTCCTCTTATTTGTTTCCATGCCTCTCTTACCCCAACTCTGGAGGAATGCATTGTACATGGGACTTAGCTCCCTGGTGCACAAGGCTTCCAGTCTCATCCCAGGATTTCTATTGTCCTGGACACAATGTTCAGAGCAGCATCCAGCTGGGGCTACAGCTGGAGGGAGCACTGGGACCATAGGCTCGGTACTGGCAAGAGACAGGGGTCATCACAGACAGGAACGGTTATAAGGAGGAGACTCAAACTAGTTCATTCTTTGCTGCTTCCACTGAAAGAATTTATTCATCCACCTGAGCTTTTTGAAGTCTTCAGAGAGTAAACCTGTACCCTGCATGCAGGTTTGATTACACAAACAGGTCTGAATTTCATTTTCATACTGGAACTCACATTTTCAGGAGAGGTGCTCGTATACTTCTAAAGCGTGCAGTGTGATGTAGCCCACAAGAATAAAAATTTAGAGCTCATATTCTTAATTGTGTTGAGGACAGGCCAGGTGCTCTGTAAGGGCACAATGCAGATCCCTCATGAGGCAAAGGCTGAAGGGGTGTCTGAGAGCACCAGCCAGCTACAAAGCACTTGGAACCTTCTCAGCCCCTGAGCTGGGGGAATCCGAACCCCTGTGGGTCAGCTCAGCTCAGCTCCTGAATGCAGGGGTTATTACTGCCATCTAGTTTAATATCTGATAAATCTTTCTCATTGCAAATTCAAGCTGGTTTAACTTCACAAAAGTTGTTCTCTCTGTTTGGTTTCTAGGAGATATTGAACCACCTTCGATGTGCCATGTTTTTCTCTCCCTAAAATACTTTCCATATATCTGTGGTTTCTTCCTTGCAGTAATACTAGCAGTTGCCATTGGCCTGGGTGGTGAGTACAATTAGTTATTCATTAAGTTCTCGCTTAACCATTCAAATGCTTAATTTTTCATGAGCCCTTTGCTTATAATGGAATTAAACTGCTACTGCAGCTTGTTTGCTGAACTAAAAAATCTTGTTGATGTGATGGCTTCAAATTTTATTTACATGTAGGGATAAAATAGATCTGGCACTCAAGAAAGGATTGTTGTAATCTTTACAACACTGGGAAATCTGCACCTCCAGGAAACTTTTCTCTAGTAAAACTTCACCAGTTCCTCTCGGGTGGTGAGCTAAGAGCTTGGAAACCGGGAGAGGCTTCAGGCAGCACATGCCATAATTTTGTCCTGTAATTCATTTCTCTAAGCAAGTTCATTTTCAAAGAATTAAAGAACTTTCCCCTATCACAAAAAACTTCTACAAAGGAAACAAAAACACAGCATGAGTTTAGTTGTGGCTGGAAAGTGTGACCTGCCCAGGTCTAGGAGCCATATGTGTTGATGCTAGAGGAGTGCCTTCACAGCTGCAACAGGGATAAGCTTGCAGGTGGTTGAGGCATCAGCCAAATTTTGCAGGTGTCTCCTTGCTTTGCTGCTGAGGGGCTGAGGCACCAGCCAGAAACTTGCTCTGGAGTGAAATATAAACTGGGTAGAGGGAGCTGGGAAGGAGTCAGCACAGACAGCAAGGCTGACTCATCCTACAAGTCATTACTAATGGATGAGTTTAGCAGCACCATGCAGCAACCTTCAGGTTGTATTTCAAAAGTTCCTAGAGTACAGGAGTTGTCTTTTTGTTAGCAAGACAGAAATCTGGCCAGATAATGGAAGTTAGATGTGTTAAATTAATATCCAAATGTGTTCTCATCACCCTGTTTTCTTTCATTCTTGTTAGTCCAATACAACTGCATTGGGAAGTTCCGCTGCCGATCATCCTTTAAGTGTATCCAGAAAACAGCCAGGTGCAACGGTGTCTTCAACTGTAAAGAAGGGGAGGATGAGTACGGATGTGGTAATTTATATTTGATTATAAATCCCACCTACCTCCTCCTGTAGCATCTGGCATCTTATCAAGAAATGCATGTTGTAAAGAGTTTGTGTGAGACAAGAGAGATACTGACGGTTTATCTAAATCACTACTTCAGAGGAACAATTTCTCTGAGGTATTGATTTAGAGTTTATGAGAAATCACACTGCTCTTAAGACGTATGTGAATGATTTCTGAATATTGCTAGTGCCATATCGAGCATGTTTCTCTATTAGAAGTCTAGATGTTTTTTGACTGCTAGTATTTCCTCTGCCTGCAAGTTATAACATCATTGCCTTATAGTGTGTATATACAGCACTCTCTGTAGACACTGGCACACAGTTGTACTGTGTTGGTTTTGAAGATTGCAAAAGCCCATTATGGGAGAGACCAGCACTGCCTTTTGTGAATTGAGTACCACAGAGTTTGCTTCTTCCTGTGTGAAATGCATGCCCCCATGTCTGAGTTTCTGAGTAAGGGTTTTGGGCATCAGAGGGCCATTTTAAGTGGTCCCTTCTTGTCCTGTGCTATGGAAGATGACTGTGGTGTTTGCAGCCACTGCAGAGAAAGCACTCTAATATTAGTAAAGAGAATAACTGATTTTTAGATCAGTGCATTTGTAATTCTGACTTGTGTACCTATGTGTGAGGAGGCAGCACAGCTTTCTATCTGTGCAATACAAGGAATGACAAGAACCATGAGCTTCTGGCCCAGCTAACCCCTCACAATACTTTCAACCTTTGGCATGTTTTCCCCAGGGAGGCTTCAGGCCTCTGTGGAGCCTGTGGGCAATGTGTCTGCTTTTCTTGTGTGCCTTTGCAATGCCATAACCCCAGCCTATGGGCACACTGCACCTGTCCATCAGTGACCGTGTGCGTGGCCTCCCTTCTCCCTGGGAAGACCATGTAGACGTGTCCTTTCCCAGGTCAAGGTGCCTCCTGCTCATCTGAGGCTCTGTGGACTGGCAGCAGCTTGGTGCAGGGGTGGGGAGGACATGGCGACATGCAGGACAAAGGGACCATGGGTGATGGCTCTGTACCTGGGCCTCCTGCAGTGTTTCCCCATCAGTCTCTTGGATGGAGGCAGCACAGCTTGCAGCAGTGCTGGCTCCATGGGGTGGCTCAGCCCTGTGGTCGTCAACAAGGAAGGGTTGTGCTGAGCAGAGTCAGACTGGTGCAGGGAGGGAGTTCTTGGGAGCTGAGCTCCCAAACTGTGCATCTCTCCTCTCCCCAGCCTTTACGTGCTGATCAGCTCAGACATGCCAGCATCATTTCAGCAGAGGGAAGCAGGTAGGACACTCCATGGGAGCCCGGGGCCATCTGGGTGCAAGTGCATGCACCTCTCTGACTGTGCTGTGCTGTGCTGTACAGGAGGTGCCAACCACTCTTCATCACTTATCTTGACTGTAGGTTTTCTCGGTGCCAAGCACCTGCCACTCCAACTTACTGCAGTCAGCAAGTCTTGCTTAGGCTTACTGGAGGGCAAGTGTACTGGGTCTGGCTGAGCAGTATTACAGCTAGCATCCCCTACCCATTCCATTAACATAGACTTCTTTCTCCTGGCTGTGCTAGCTCAGCATACCTTAATTTCCTTCCTTAAGGGGGGGCGGGGAAGCACAGAAAAGTTCTATCAAAGGATTCAAGTGATGAAAAAGACAAGTAGTTAAAACTCAGTGAGCGAAGAAATATAGATGTCACGGTGGTGCACTGACATTGTTGTGTACCTGTTGGTTCTTCTTCACAATTCACTCAGACTTTTCTTCTCCTGAATCTCAAAGTCAGGTTGAGTGGCAAGAAAGCAGTGCTGCAAGTGTTCACTTCTGGATCCTGGCGAACAGTCTGCTCTGATGACTGGAAAGCAGAATATGGAAATACTACCTGCAAACACCTGGGTTTCTCAAGGTATGAACACAAAATGGAAGAAAGTTTACACGGCATTTTGAACAAACTCTGAGGTTTTTAAACTTTCTAATGAAACCATGTATTAGTCTGTGCTTTAAAAGAAAAAAAGACAACAATCCACCTTTGTGAATGATATGGTTGAGAAGATTTGGAATTATGTGGGAAATAGTCCTGAATACTTGTGTACTGCAAATACCATTTATTACTGCTATAAATCCTGAATGATGGCTAAATACAATGGTTTGGTTAAATCTTCCCTATGATGTCCAGGTGCCTGAATCCTGCTTCTCTTTCTAGTGGTTAACAGCCTCTCAGAAAGGCATTAAAAAACATAAGAGCTTTTCCAATTTCTTTTACTTCCTCTGTAGGAAAATTTTATATACAATTCACGTCATGACATCTGTTAGGATTTGAGGTCCACCTCACAATTAGAGAAAAACCTGGCAAGGTGATTCTTACTGGATTGATCCCATTTCTGGAAAACACCATTTCTTTCACAAACCTTCACACAATTGGGAAAGAGTTTGAAGTTGTGACTTGCAGTGATGCTCTGTTATTTATTACAATGGCATCTTTCTGATTTGTGCACATTATAGTTAGCAGTATAAAGTTTCTTTAAATAAATTCTTGTTGCCTTTAGGCTAAAATACATCTTAATTGTTAAACAAAAAAGACAAGAAAAACTTACAAACTATTCATCCTCCCTGCTGCAAAATGTAACTCTAGAAAAAGGAGACAATGAGCTTGTTAGTGCATCAGGAAATGTGCCAGCCAGTTACAATAAAAGCTTTATTACAATATTAGAATTAAAATTTACTTTCTCTGCAAGCTAAATGTCTCTCAGCATGTGTGACTTCCACACATGATTACGGCAAAAATACATGCACATTGTAAGAAGTGTTTCTTGGGGAGGATAGGATTACTTTGTCAGAACCCGATTATTGTGGTTTCTACACTGGGTTTTCATTAGCAGAACCGCTGAATTATTTAAATAGATTACTGAAATGCTGTCTGAGGAAGCTGTGTTTATGGTTTATTTGCAGTTACGTGAGTTCAGGTTACCTGCCTGTGGCTGCAGTTGAAAAACAGTTTCAAAGACATTTTGTATCCCTTAGCCACTGGTTATCAGCTGATCAAGTGACATCTCTGCACAATGCAACAAACCTCAGGTATGCCTCAGCTTGTTCATCCTGGCAGAAAGAGAGCAATCAATAGAAGGAGAATTGTTAAAACTTGAGATTGTAGCCTATTTTTTCAGGCATGTAGTACTTTGGAAGTGGTTGGTATTGTTATGCATTATAGACCAAGGTTTAGTAGCAGTCTTGCTGGAGTATAAATTGAGAGTCGGATCCAATGCCCATTAAAATCAACAAAGGCTTTAAAATGAGCTATTTGAAAAGCCTATTTGTCCCATTTTTTTTTTTTTTTTTTTTTTTCAAATGGATAGACACCAGGCACTTATCTTTCTCCATTGTGAAGCTGTTTGTTTCAGTTTACAGATCCCTAGTTATTTCCCAGTGGGTTTATAAACCCTTCATGGTCCATTTCTTCCTCCTGACAATTGCTTATTTTCCTTAGTTACCTTTCACTGAGAAGCAAACTATGTATCCAAGGAGACTACAGATCACATGTTGAAAATTGCTGATGAGCCTCCCCTTGTGGAAGAGTGAACCAACCACTCTTCAGCAGGGCAGCATATGGTCTGCAGGCTCCTGCTGGTGTTTAGGTTCCTAATTTAAGTATTTCAGCTAAATGCTCTGAGCGGACTGGATGAGTACGTGACTTTGCACCTTTTTCAATATATGAGTTACTTATATTTACCTACACATAGCAGTACAGGGATATGACACAATATTTAAAAAAAAAAAACCCAGTATTTGTGAATTGGAACTAATACTGCACTGTCTTTTCATCTTAGAGAGGAATGCACTTCTGGCAATGTGATCATCTTAAAATGTTTGGGTAAGAATAAGGAAAAGTGAAAATAAAATCAGAAACTCTCCGTCTTCATCCACTGCATGACAAGAAATGGGAGGAATTGTGTACTTTGGGCATACTATGCCATCAGTTTATCACACCAAAGAAAAATTACATTTCTTATATAAAATTTAAAAGAATTTCAGAAGTGAGAATAGGCTGGTAAGGCAGATTGGGAGCATCAAGTAGCAGGGGCATTTTGGTGAGAATCACAGTAGGAAGTAAACATCTAAGGATTGTGAGTTGAGTCCGTGGATTGATACTGTAATTCCAAGTCTTTGACATCTCATTAGGGAAAGGGAAATCTGTCCTAACATTTCAACTTTCATCCCACACCTCTCCAAATCGGCTAGTTTTCACAGAGGGATATGAAAATTCAAAAAACAATAGCAAAATAATCACCAGGGAAGACGAGATGTTTCAGCCTGCCTGTGTGCGTCCCTGGGACCCTGTGCGTTTATGAAGGGCAGAACAGGAGGTTTTATAGCTTAGCTGAGCCCTATGTCTGCAGTGGAAAAGATGTGAGCCCCACAGCCCCCATGCCATCTGCCAGGCATGATGCTGCAGGGGTGGGAGGGAGGAGGAGCAACTTCTGGGGGCAGCCACAGCTCAAGATGTGGACCATGAGGATGGGGACAGTCCTGCTGCAGAGACATTCCAGCCTCAGCAAGGCTGGGAGTAGAGGGGCTGAAGGTGACCAAAACCATGCCTCTTTTCCTCCACGGACCGTAACCTTTGCTTTCTGGCAGCATGCGGGACGCGGGCCAGCTACGGGCCACGAATTGTGGGGGGCAACGCGGCCTCCCCCCGGCAGTGGCCCTGGCAGGTCAGCCTGCAGTTCCACGGGCACCACCTCTGTGGAGGGTCCGTCATCACCCCACGCTGGATCATCACGGCCGCCCACTGCGTCTACGAGTAAGTCCCTAAATTGTCTTTCTTGGGGTGTCCCACTGACCCGGCTTCAAATGGGTCTGTGTGTGTGGCCCCTCCAGAGGCACGCAGACACACCGTGCTTTCTTTTAAAATATGAACTGCAGTAGTGATTGGGTTATCCTTACTTCATGGTCTTGCTCCATAACATTTAAACCATTTCTATCTCTTCTTGCACGAGTGCAAGACTTTGCTGAAGACTTTATCTCCTGAAGAGAGAATCAGGTCCAAATCAGGGGCCCCAGTTTTCAGATATTCTGGGCGCTCCCAGTTTCCCAGGAAATTGGCTTAAAACAACATCTGAGTGCTAGATATTAGGTATCCTGATCTGAAATTTCTGTACATTGCATGTGAGTTAGCAGCTCAGGAGGAATTTGCACTTGGCTGCTCTGGCACTCTGGAACTCCAAAATAAATTACACAATGCTCTTCAAGTTGACAGGATCAATCCAAGGTAGTAAGTTGCACTATGCTTAGTGCCCACATACTCACTGCTCCTTTTTATGCTACTGAAGTAGTCTTTGAGTTGTAAATAGATGAAATAGATGCTAATCAGTTATTTAGACTCCTCTTCTTTGTGTAATTATAAACATAACCCTCTCATTTATGAAGAGTTGTCTGGTCCTGCAGTCCTGTTTGTTGCTAATAGTGCAGGAGAGCTCTTTTCTCTCTCACAATCTCCAGGCCACTTTCACCAAAGACATTTACACAGCTAAAATGCGATTTGTCTTATCACTTTTAGGCACCCACACCACCAGTGCCTGCTTCTGAGCAAGTCCTGTAGGATGCTTTTATACCCAGTAGAGAGAAGAGATGGAACAGACAACTCCCACTCCTAGATCCTATTTAGAGCCCTGTGTTGCCATAAAAATAATTACTTAGGAATTAAGCATTTTAGGACTTTTGTCCTGAGCTCTGTGCCCCCACAACACAGCTGGTTGTAGTGTGTTCAAAGGCTGATGGGGATGGGAGCTGGCAACACAACCCACATCCCTGGAGCCTTTCCCCAGCTAATCCACTGCTAGCCTGGTGGGGAGAAGGCAAGAGAAGAGGAGCTGCTCGTGTGCTGGAGGCTGAGAGATGTGGCTGCTCATAAACTGGGGTCAGAAGCACTTTCCAGAATGAAAGTCTCTCCCTTGAGAACGCCTTGCCACAAGTGCGGCTGAGCTAGCTGGATGGCTGAGCACGTGTGCCAGGCAGCAGCATCGACTGCTGTGGGGTCATGTAGGAGGACAGACAGGTAGGCCAATTCAGAACTCATGTATCTGTAGGAAGCTGCACAGATAATGTGCCAGTGACCCAGTGCATTACCAAGGTTAGTCACCCTTTACACATCTTTTGAAATTAGATGCCAAACATAGCCAATATTAATAGCTAACAAGTACAGCAGACCGTAGCTATTTGCCTGTAGAGTTTTATGTGGTTTGTAAGCTCAGGAGACAATTAGAAAACCTGAGGATTTTCTTGACAGATTTTCACTCTCTCCTACCTCTTTGTTTCAGCCTGTACTTGCCGAGCTCATGGAGTGTGCAGGTTGGTTTTGTGACTCAGCAAGACAGCCAGGTTCACCCATATTCAGTGGAAAAAATTATATACCATCGAAACTATAAACCCAAGACAATGGGAAATGATATAGCACTGATGAAACTGGCAGCACCGCTTGCTCTCAATGGTAATTCTTTCTGTTAGCTTTCACTTGACTTTCTCGCCTTTCTAGACAAAAGCAAGACGGGTCTTTCCTAGTACTGACAGGGAAATTTCTGTTGGTGCCCTATGCCTGACCCAGGGCAGGTGGATCCCCACTGCCTCTAAAAGCAATGAGAGATGTGCAGCGTAGATGTAGCCAGCCTGCTGCTGTGATGGTGAGGCTGTGATGGTGAGGCAGCAATCCTTGTTCAGATTACACTGGCAGAAAACCCTACCCTCAGTATCAGGAACTCCTCTGTGCTCAGTGTCCAGGCACAGAGAGCAACGGCATGGTCACAGAGCTCTGCAAAATGTTCCCAGTCTGATCTGGTATTGGCTTACTGAAGGTATTTAATAATAGGCAAACATTAACTTTATTCTTTCTAAATATTTTTCCTATCTAAAATAAACGCTCCACCTTATTTTATTTGGAGATTGTGGGGATTTTTATCATGTCCTTTCTGTGAGTGCAGGGAGATCCAGCAGGGTCTAAAGCTGAAATTCAAGCTTAAATTTCAAAGAGAAGAAAAGGCAGTTCAAACACAATGATGCTTTTAAATTAAAAACACTTTTATTTTCTCGCAGGATGCTGCCTACAGCTGACAGTCAATGAATTGAAATAATGTGTAACAATATTGTATGAACTTAAATGATCACCTGCCAATACCTCCTAATCACTGTGAGCTCTCTGCAAAGAGGAGCTGGTGCTCTCTGACACATCTAGATTGTCAGTTCCTAAATAAATTGTCTCGAAATACTTTAAACTCCCACTTTGAATGAAAATTAACCTTGATTTCGTTCTGTTTTGCATCTCAGCTACTGCTGGTTTCTTTTGCTTGGGAATAGGTCTGGAAGGCTGTTAAGAACAGGAAAGGCCCCTCAACTGAGCAAGATACCTGCTATGCCCTGGGGGCAGCCTGGGGGGCTTGGAGGCTCCATACTGGAGCTCAATGCTTTGAGCTGGGATCGTTGCGCTATGGAGAACTGAACCACTAGGAATTGCCCAGTAATACCTTGTATCTTCCCTCCCTCTGCTCAGTGCCAGCTCATCTTGACACATCACAGTTTGTCCCTGCAAGCATCAAACACTGATTATACGGCATGGCATTCTGTGCCCCAGGGCGCAGAGGCACTGAAATGCTATGAACTGATGGGTGGGAAGCAAAGAGCACCCCAGATGTCTTGTTGCCCTTACAGCAGAGCGGAGATGTGCACGTATGGCTCTTTGTACATGACGTGGCACAAAACCTGTTAGGAGGTGCCATGCAGTTGTGCTGTGGTTAACCAAGGTCATTTCTCTCCCTGAGCAGCGTGCCACGGAGTCTTTGATCTGCCCATCACCTGCCTGCATGGCTCATTTTCTGTTCGCTCATTCTTCAATTTAGTGACCTGCCAATACCTCCTTCTGTCACTTCATACTTGAAACTGATTAGTCCTGGTGCAGGTATTGTTTCAAACGTGTGGTATCGGCCATAAGACAAAAGACCTGCAGTACTGCTGGGCTATTTATGTGGGAAGCAGGCGGTGTTCATAACAAGTTGACTGCAAGATTTTACTCAAGTTTTACTGAGGCATATAATTTTTTTTTCTGAATTTTAAAAGCAATTCTCTCTCTCTCCTTTTCTTTTTTTTCTTTTTTTTTTTTTTTTTAATAGGTCACATAGAACCAATTTGTCTGCCTAATTTTGGTGAACAGTTCCCAGAAGGGAAAATGTGTTGGGTATCAGGATGGGGAGCAACTGTGGAAGGAGGTATTTTAAATGGGCTGCTGTTGGTTACACTACATGAAAACATCTCCCATACAGTAAATACAGGATTTGGTTGGAGCATTGTTCAACATTAAGTTTTCTGGGATATCTGGGGGGAAAATAAGACATATTCCTAAATTTTATGCTCATCCTGAACTGCAAAAGTGCTGTACAAACACTTATCACAAAGAATGGATGGGTACACTCTGTGAAAATGCCAAAGATGACATGTAGACAGCAAAACTGTCCACAATGTTGTACTCAGTCTCAGTCAAACAGAATGTCCTTTAAAACTTCAAGCATAGAAAGCACATGAATGCAAGTATCAACCATCCAGTTTTTTTGAGAAAGTGTGTAAGCATTTTCAGGCAAGCAGGTTGATGTAGAAATTGGATCTGTGAATAATGCCATAAAGAGAAGGGAAGAGAAGGGATTTGTGTTGGTTTTGGGTTTTTTTTCCACCATGACTCACAGGTGATGTTAATCAATAATATATACTGAATCACTTCCATGTGAAAATTCTTGAATTCTCAGGTCATTGTTTTTTATCATTCGTCTTTCATTGCATTTAACATGTTCTCATTGTTCGGAGAACAGTACGCTACCTGACCTACGGATAATAGCGAAAGGTAGGAAAAAAATGAAAGCAAGGATTACCACATAAAAAGTCAGCTATAAGTTGACAGTAGACAGTGTGCAAATACTCCCATTTGTCGAGAAGATCCATTCAGACTGAATAAAATAAAATAAATATTTATAAAATAAATGAGATGTTTGCAGATGACTTGTTGACTAACAGAGCAGGGAATAAATTTAAAACAAATTTTGGCACTAGTATTGAAGACTGTCCAACTAGCTCATTATTCTCAATAATTGTCTAGTTTGAAGTAGAAATGTACATATAATGTACAACATTATATTATGTACTGTGATAATCCACAGCTCTATAGAATTGATAGTTACTGGATGCTGTAAGTGATGAGACACTTTGTTGCCTTACTTGTATGTTGTCGTTTTAACTGTATTTCTTTCATCCTTGCTTGCCAATTCTTCATGTACTAAAACCTTTTCCGTTTATAATTAATGTTTAATTTCAAGGATAGAGAGTTTTTTCTTTGTTTTTGTTCTTGTTTTTTTAACAGGTGATACATCTGACACCATGAATTATGCAGGCGTTCCTCTGATTTCTAATGCAATTTGCAATCACAGGGATGTCTACGGTGGGATCATAACTTCTTCAATGCTTTGTGCTGGTTTCCTAAAGGGTGGGGTAGACACCTGCCAGGTATGGAAGTTTCCAAACTGCAATTGTGCTCATTAAGAACAGCAATGGAAAAACATGAGTGATAAGTTATCAGAAGGCACTCCCAGGCTTTTCTTGAGCAAACATTCACTTTTGTGCCATTTACTCTGTTTACCACGAATATCAATCACTGACTGTGCACACATTCACGTGCTACAATTCCCTTCTTATATTTCTTCTGAGGACCATATCTGCTACTTCTGAAGCCAATTTAACTTAAGACTTTTTTTTTTTTTTTTTTTTTTTTTTTTTTTTTTTTTTTTTTTTTTTTTATTGCATGTGCTACAGCATAGTGACAACTCTTTGCCCTGGCTGTGGCCTCTGCACTGCTCTGAATAGCACTGCACTGCACTGTGAGCATCTCTGGAGACTTGTAAGGTGTAGACACCCCTTGGTGAAAAGCAGCCAAAGCATATATCAATAAGAGAAACAGAAGTGTGTGATTTTTGGAAAGAGCAGATTGAGGCAGGGGAAGGAAGAAAGGGAGAGGTGTTTGAGTAACTCAGACAACTGGTAATGACTGTGGGGGAGAGGGGCTCATAGATCATAGTTCATGGATCAGAGGATCCTTCACAACACAGTGTGATGATTCAAAATCACTGTCAGTCATGACAGTGACCACCTTGTGCAGGTCTCATCCCCGTACACACTAATGTGGACTGACTTAACTAGTCACAGATGAAGAGCAAGGGCTGGGGAGGAACTTGATGTTTCCAGACTTGCTCAGTCCCAGTTATGCATGGGACAAGACAAAGCAAAGGGATTAGGTGCACAGAACTTCATTTAATCCCTTGTTTGCACAGCCCCCCTAGCAAGGTGCCTGGCACCAGCACTACACGATGCCTGGGAGAGCTGCACAAAGGCAGCATGCTCAGCATACGGCTCCAAATGACAAACTGAACCCTACACGCCAAAGAGAGGCTTGTTCCAAATTCCCTTTCTTCTGTTGTGCTGGTTCTGATGCTCATAAGGTGAGAAACTGTTTCAGTAAAATAAATTGAGAGTTTTCGTTACTTAGATGTGAGTCTACTGTGTCAAATGTGCCTAGCAAAGTGTCTGGGAAGCACCAGAAAAGCAGCGTGCCAGACTGCGTGCAGGAGCAGGCAGGAAAGGAGGCAGGGTGCAAGCTTGTTGTTGCAACCCTGGGCTCAGCTCAGCTCAATAGCTAGGAGCTTTTTGAGAGAAGCAGCTGTGAGAGACCAAGACCATGGCATGGAGACTGGCATGGAGATGAGACCATGGCATGGAGATGAGCAATGCCCTGCCTGCAGGACGGGCATGCTCCCCAGCACCCAAATGTTGTTTAACAGCAGACTTCAACATTGATTCTGTGGTACTACACTGCTAACAGGGGAAAGAAAAATATGATCTAACACACATCTCTAAGAAATCTCCAACTTCTGCTGTAACATGTGCTTTTCCCAGGACCCAGAGAACAGGAGACTTTGAATTACTGGACTATGCCTCTCCCTATACTCCCCCAAATAGACGTTCCCCTCCCTTGCTCGGACACTGACATTTGCTTTAATTCTTTGTCCTCCAGGGAGATAGCGGGGGCCCTTTAGCGTGTGAAGATATGAGTATCTGGAAGTTGGTTGGGACCACCAGCTTTGGAGTGGGCTGTGCAGAAAAGAACAAGCCGGGCGTCTACAGTCGAACAACCTCCTTCCTGGGCTGGATACACGAACAGATGGAGGTCTGGTTTTGCCATGTCTCTCCACCTCCAGTTGTTGCTTTGCTCCACCTGTGCCACACAGTGTTTAGCTCATATTTGTCGCAGCTGAGTTGTGTCATACAGACATCTGTGACCCAAGGGAGCGTTTGGGGATCAGGGCAGGTCCGTGGGCTGAGTGCAGGTGTCTTAGCAAGATGTGGGTGGGGGGAGAGAGGGGAGAGGAAGGTGGGAGTGACTGGGGAAGGAGCCTGGAGGTGCAGAGCAGGGAACATGGAGGTGTGAAAGGGCTGAGTAAGGAGATGGGGAGGCAAGGAAAGAAATGCTAGGGGACTTCACCTGAAGCTATGAGGCTGTTATAAAAAAGCCTGCAAAGTGGAAGCTAAGTAAGCCAAAGAAATTGGGGAGGGGGGGGAGACAGTGCTGGTTGGAAGGAGAGGAGAACAGAGGCAAGGAAGTGGGGGGATGCTGCAGCCACCTTCACCTGACCTGAAGGTGATCCACTCTCCAGACACCAGGTCTTCTGCTGTCAGCACCCCTCTAGCACTGCCAGAGAGATAATGGGTTCAGTCAGCTGAGCAGGAGAATTATAGTCCTTCAAGAAGACTCCCCGGCAGGGATCTGTTGCCTAAGCAGAGGCATCTAGAGCCATTTTAGAAACCCCAGGCTGTCCTGCCTGGCTCACAGGCATCCCTGCAGAAGTGCAAGGATCTGCAGCTAGCCCTGGGTTGTATTCAGCATCCCCTTGGGGGTGTCGCAGATACCCCGTGACAGCTCAGGTAGCTATGATAGAGGATCTATGAAAGATCTGAGGCCTTCCAGACCAACTGCTGGAGCTCAGGCAAGTGCACTAAGACGCCCCAAGTGGCATTAGTTAGTGAATTCATGAGGCAAATGAACCATCCTCCCCTGCCCTGCCAGGAGTCCAGACACTCAGCTCAAGGGTAGACACCTACTTAGCTTTGTAGCAAAGCCATCCTAAGCACCAAAGTGTGTGTCCTATCCTGCTCCTCGCAGACAGTGGTGCCGGTGCTGTTATTCCAGCACCCAGTTTGCTGGAATGAATGAATGAATGAATGACTGAATGAATAGCAGTGATGCTCTGACAGCACCAGCAATACAGCCCCCAGCCCTGACAGCTGCCCTTGCCACCGTGATGGCATGTGGGGAAACCACTCCTGCCCCCATCTCATTTGTGAAATACGTGAGACTTCCTCCTCAAACTGAAGTGCCAATATCAAGCATTCACAGACAAAATAAGGTTATGTGTGCAATTTCATTTCAGCCCCCTGCCTGGATACTGTATGACACATACTGTTTTCACACCCTATATTATACATGAAGATTTATGTTATCACATGCTTATCTGTTACTCCACAAAGCTAAAGAAGACAAGATAACATTTCTAAATCTTTAAGACCTCTAATATTACTTTTTTTTTCTTCGCTCCAAATATATATATATATATATATAATTGTGAGTCATTTGCAGACACAGTAGCCCAGACATTTCAGATGAAGAGTTCATATCCAATGAAAGCACAGATCTCCATCATAAAGAAGTGATCAAGGAGAAAAAAAGTACAGCTAAATCAAAAGTACATCTAAATCTTTGTTTAGCTAAATGCAAACATGTTACAGTTTTTCACAGGGACATCCTTCAGATGCAAGCATTAATTCATCAATTTATTCTCTTAGAAAGGATTTTAAACTGCAGCGTAGAAACTCAGACTCTTTTTCATGGACTCTGAAACAAACCAGAAGAAAGTAGAACTAGTGTGCCTTTGAAAATGGGACCAAGGGAATGGTTTGCACCTGGCAGATCTGTATTGTGGCATAACTGTCCTGATCTGCTCTTACCTGCTACTGCTCATCATGGACTGGTGTTATTTTGGTCTCCAGAATTTTTTGTGCTTTCTTCAAACAATTCAAAAATTGACTCTTTTAGCTAAAGCTTAGCAGAGGAGTTAGGAAAGAGATCCATTTTGATCTAAGAGATGGAAAATTGCAAGATAAGGAATTTGGCCATCAACATGCCGTTAAAAGCTTTCTTTCTGGAAATAAGCTTTATAACAGCTCACCGGTCAGGGACAATCATCTAATTTAAGGCATGATCAAAGAGGAGGCATTTGTGTTTTCTGATCTTCCATTTCTAGTTTTGAAACCTGAATAAAGTACTTCTGTCTCCCAGATTTTCAGGAAGATACAAACATTTTGCTAAAGGCTCTCTCCTGTGAATGCAAAGAAAAGTTTCTTACTGCTTTCCACTAAGCGGTGAAAATTAGCTGATGCTATTTAGCAAGTTGTTTCTCCAACACTGTGAACAGAATTTCTGCTGCCTTCATTTTGAACAGCTGTCCCACTAGGGAGGAAACAAAAAGTTTATAGCACTAAGGGGAGTGCCAGTGACCTACATACATTGTTGTCTGAGAAATATTATACTTCAACTATTAAATCTGAATAGACATGGAAAGTTCCCACCCCACCAAAAAAGGGAAAAAAGAGAAAATAGCAATGGAACAACTAAGAGAAAAAGATAAACCCCTTCAAAGCCTACTTATCTCCCTGTATGCGTGTGTCTCATGCATACAGTATCTATCACTATTACTAATATATTCCTCTATCCCCCATAACCATATTTCTTTATGTTCCTGTCTCACCTCATGCAAGACTGAGAACTAGTGAACTAAAGCAGAGAGGCTGATGGCATTTGCTGAGGTTCACAGTGCACACAATGGGAATTGGACTGCAGTTCTTTTGTCGAGGTGGTGTCTTTTTCTGAAGAGCTCCAGCTGGCAGGACTGACTCCAGCAGCCCTGTCCTTCCTTTGGTGACCCTAGTACAGTTGGGAAAAAAAGAAGTGTCTCCCTTTCAGAGTTCAGTAGGTGGCAACATGATCATTTGAATGGATGCATAACTGGTTTTGCTTCCCAGAGAGAAGAATTGCAGAGCTGAGGAGAGTGGCAGTGCGCTGGGCTTCTGAAAACCCACATCACCCTCCAGCCCCACAGAAGGACCCACCACACTCTTCTGGATACCTGCTCTAAGCTTTGCGCCTTCACAGACTACTTTTTACCCTTTCTTTTGGGTACTGGTAACTATACTTAATGAAAACTGTTGCACATTCAGCCTCTTTTGGATGGAAGAGGCAGCTGGATGCTGGATGCTGGGCATGAGTATAATATTTACTGTCAGCTACAAATTTCACATGTAGACTAAGTGCGAAGACTGATAACCAAGGATGCAATCTATCACAATAAAGTATTGCAGGCACCATGAGTAAAAGTCTAGAACAACTTTACGATCAGGTTGTTAGCTATTATTTTAGTACTTACCTTCCAAGAACCAGACTACATAAAGACTTTTTCTCCTAAAAACAATCATATATAAGGTCCATGGTCTGTTGCACAGGCAGCACCATCGTTCTTTGAAGCCATAAAGCAAGCAGGAAGCAAGCAGATGGCAATTTTGGCAAGCAGTTGGCAAGTATATTCAACTCTTGTTAGAAAAAAAATCTCTGAATTCGAGTCTTTTATCATGTGGCTTTGAACAAAGTCCCTAAAAATTGAATTCCTAGGTGTTTTCTTCTGGTAAATAGCTCTGAAATGAGCAACACACAGGTTGTAACTTTACTGAAAAATTCTGAGATAACTAAACAGTCTTAAAGGGAAGAGGAGCTTCTTTACTGCCTTTCAATAGGCTAGAGAGCCAAAGTCATCGCTCTATCTGTGATGCACCACGGAGTGCAATAGCCATTGAATACTCCCAAGCTGACATTATGTTGTACAGTTCACCAAGGCATTCACGGTCAGTCACCTTCCCTGTTTTCCTGCCCTTTCTCTGCACAGGACAATATAGATCCTGCACTCTTTGTATCTATTAGTGACACCAGTGGTGCGGACGAACTGATGACAGCCAGACATGGGACAAAATATCTGAAGTGCTGCTGTGGTTTCCTGTTTTACAAGCCTTCTTAACATAACAGCCTCATGTTGTTAGGTTGAAAAATGCCTGATTGTTTTGCACTTGCCCTTTGTAAAAATCCTGGGATGAAAGTTGTCAATTTTAGAATTGATTGACAAGGTCAGTAGGCTAAATAATGGATAATATTGTCAGAGCTTTTAATTATCAGTCAAAATTGGTCATCATATGATCAAGTGCTGCTCATCTGCTTGAAATGTGGTTTTGGATGTAGTCTGTATGCTTCTAAATCAGTATCTGCATCACTGCTGTCATCTACCACTGCTGCAGGAAATCATCAGTGGAACTGGAACTGCATTCTGACAGCAACAAGTTGTGTCCAAATCAAGAGAGAACAGCAAAACCACATGAACTGTCAACCTCCATATTGTTCTGTAGATACAAACTTTGATGTTATAGGACACTGCATCAATATCTTTCACCCTGGCTGAAGAAAATGCAGTGCAATGGAAACAGCACTTCCAAAACCAGCATGCTGTTAAAAAGAAGAGTGAAATATTATTGCAAAGACGACACAAAAAAATGGAATGAAATGGGAAATTTCAACTTGACAGAAACATGACAGAATTAAAACAAATTATGCTGAACCCTTGTGTAACTAAGACGTTTTCAGAAGAGTTTTAATGTTCACTCTTTGTTATCATAACACTTTCACAGCGCCAACATGGCTCATGTTTGAGTATTATCAGCAGTCTGAAGATGAGGGGGATGCTCTCTGAGCTCATGGAGTTGTTATTTCGTATTTCCAAAAAGACCCCTGCAAATTCCTTTTGAACTCCTTCTATTTCCATAAAAGGACTGTACAGTAAGTATTCACTGTGGTCTGCCTTTATATTAAAGAGAAATCCAATACAAAATATAAAAGCTAGTGAACTCTTCCCGACAAGAAACCACATTGACCCTCAGTACAATAACGGTCACTTCTAGCCCAATGAGCCTGCAAATCATTCTTTTGATTTCTCTTATGCCCCTTGCTGTGGTGTCTTAGGTATAGGAAGAATACAAAAGAGTCACTCTGTAAAGCTGTATTTTCCTCCCCCAATTTATGCCATTAACATGGATGCCAGGGGGTTTAAAATAAATATAATCATGATATTATCATATTTCTTTGTGTTTACCCAGATGAAGATACAGAGGGGTTTAAAGCGTGGGAAGTGGTTCTGTACAGAGCTGGGCATTGAGTTTTATTCAAAGAGAGGTGGGACTGATGAGCTGGTCACTACTGGTAGTCACTATTACAGCTGGAATGAACCGGTAGACAGAAAACTAACTTTTCAAAGAGGTTATATGACAGATTACCAAGTCTTTCCTTTTCCTTGGATTTTCTTCTCTCTATTCAATGAAAATAAATGGCTACACCGCATGTGCATGTGCCTGCCAAACCAGGTGGGGCTGAAGGTAGCTCTAGTTTAGCTAATCCTGATTAGGAGTTTCATGGTAAACACCTTTGAAGTATTTAAGATTTTTATAATAGAGGAGTGTATATCTGCTACATTATTAAAGAGGCTGATGAAACATGTTCTAGTCTGTGAACTCAGCTCACTGGTTAAAATGGTTGCTTTAACATAGGATTATGTTACAGCCATAGTATCCCTTAGAAATACAACCTGCTTATATGCACAGACTGTGGAGAAAACTTGCACCGACGTGTATAATTTCACAAGAAATGGTCAGCACATGAAGAAAAATTCCTTTGCCCTTCATCACCTGTTCCTGACATCATGACAGTTAAGTCTAGAAACTGAGACAAAGCTGGTAAGTTTGGATGAACCAGCTGTGACTTTTATTCAATATCAGAAACATTACATGGATAAATTCTCCTTTAGCCACACCGAAATTGATTTTTTTTTCACTTGAGATGTACAAATAAAAAGACGGTTCCTGAAAGATACAGAGATAAGCATAAAAACAAATGCCTGTTTGATGTCTGAGAAAGCCAAAGTGTTTTCTGAGAAGTGCTGTGCTTTGAACATGCTAACACACCCCACACCAGGAAGAAATCACTGTGCAGAGGCAAGGATGCCTCACAGCTCTGCTCGTAGAAGCTGTCTTACTGGCAAAATTCATATAAGTCTATAAATGACAATACAAGAACTGTACATTAAACTTTAAAAAAAAAAAAAAAAAGATCTGGCTCATCCAAATTTTTTGAGTCTTCAACATCCAAAGAAAGCAGGTTGAAATCTTATGTTCTAAATGTTGCACTGTAAATCTTGCTGTTGTAACAAACCTAGTTTGATCCCTGAAAGGTACACACTCTCTGATATCTCTGCACCTGTAGTACCATTTTAAGATTTGCAGATCAAATTTATTTTCTTCAACAAATAGCCCTGTGAGAAGTAGTATCACACTTGTGGGCAGCAGGAGCCTGATAGTACGTAAAGCACTGTAAGAAGTGAGCTTACTTCGGCTGTTTAACTTTAGGGAACGTACAGGGAAGTGTTTCTTATCTGAACTGAAAGAGTACACTTGATCATTGCCTTTAATCTCTGGTTTTGTGTATTTTACAAGAGCGGACGCTTCTGAGTTTATTTTATTGCTTTTGTCACATGTTTTCTTGCTGGCAGAGCTCCTGCCCCAATAGAGGACAGCAGGTTGTGTCCTCAGCATTGGCACCAGTTAGATGGGTAGGATTTTGAACAGTTTGCTTCAAAATTTGTCAGGGGAGAGGTGAAAATGCAGCCTCTGGATGGTACAAAATGGTCAGACCATTTTTCCTGATGAAAAGAAAATTGACTCCATAAGTGATTTGTTTTCCTGAAGAGCACCTTGGTAGCTGCCTGAGCAATACAAATGTGAAAAGTGCAATGGGCAAGAGGAAAAAGAATTAATGATCTCCCAAATTCTAATGCTGGAGTGAGTTTACACAAGGTAATTTCAGGCACACAAGTGGCAGCTGAGCTAGGAGCCTGTCCTCACCTCGGGCACCTACACTAGACCTCTGGTGTGAGCACGTATCGATGTGTCCCCACAGCCGGGACTGAGTAAGGCTGCACAACGAAAACAAGCTTGGCAAAATGCAACCTTAGAAGGCAAGACCAAAGCAACTACTTTAATCCTTTAGCAGAGGACTAGGTAAATGGAAATTAGCTGCAGCAAGTGGGATGCTACCCTGTGCACCCCTTTTTCAAGGACTGTTCCCTGCTGAGCCTGGTGCAGGGCCAACTGGTGGGGCTCTGGTGGCTGAGTGACCACCTGTGGCTTTCCTAAGAAAGGATTTGCTCAATTCTTGTTGCATTAAAATGACTCCCAAGGAGAGTAGTGGGAATGAAGCCTTCTTCTCTGAGGTGTTATCTTAAAATAAATATATCCCCCTGAACCTTGCCAGTGAGAAAGGGAGGGAGTGAAAACTGAGAAGGGAAGAGTCAAGAATAAGACTGTCCTAAAGCACCAGAGCATGAAGTGCTTGAGGGGGAAAACATATGCACTTAAAATTAAAATCACCAGTAAATTATAATTCCTTTCTACAGATTTCCCACTTTTTGAAGTATGTTTTGCATAGAAAGTCAAATAGAAGGGAGTTTTAGATTTTTTTTTACTAGTGTGACTGCAATATATCATTTATTTGGGCATCCTTACCCTCAGCAACATTACCTCTATCAGAAATTAATTTGAAATGCTTATGATAATATAAAGTCCACAGCAGATGGCAGCATATGTCAAAATTTTGCCTACACCTTCCATTTAAAAAAATAAATAACCTTAAAACAGTGCCTTCCTCAACCACCAGAAGTGGGTAATGCAAACGCAGTTATGGTCCCCATCGCACTCATGGCTACTTGAGGAGAGGTTAATGGGAAGATGCAGCTCCCGCAGCAGAGGGATGGAACTCCCAGGCACCTAGGATCATGATCAGACCATCTGCACACCTGCCCAGGTCTCTGGTGGGCACTGGCCCTGGCTCCCCAAACTGCATGGCTGTGATGTGTCTTAGTGCTGCTGGCTACTCATGCTATGGGATGCCCTGAAAATCATAGCCTCAGGTTTTCTCATGCTTTGATATATTTAAAAGTGAAATACTTGATATATTTAATACGTTAAAGTATTACAGCAGATTAGTAGTAAGATGTCACTGCAGAGTTGTTTCTGATCTAGAGAGATCTGTGGAGCAGTATATTATCCACATCTCCAACCACCTCCCCTCTGTGACTGAAGCTATAATTGGACAATAACAGTGAAAACGAACCTTTTCCCTACAGATTATTTTGCATCACTCACCCATGGCAGAAAGAAAAACATTTATTTAGAAATTTATCAACCTTCCATTTACTAGCACTTTTACTAGGACTAACTTACACACCACTTACAGACTTCAGGGAAAGAATATAGCTGTCACATACAAATATTTCTGTACAGGTACCCAGTGCTGACACTTACAGCCATGTGCAGGTACCTGTTAGATAACATAATTTTAAGAAATACTTAAAGCCAGTAGGAAAACAGAAGGTAAGCTTCCCCACTTCATCACACTGTGGCTGCAGCGAGAGTGAAGGGAAAGATGGTCACCTATTTAAGGTTTCCTTCACCTCCTCCAGCTTCTCCTTGTGGCAGGAGTAAGGCACAGCCATGTCAGCAGGAGGCCGTGGTCAAGATCTGTGTCCCTGCCCCTCCATGGCTCTGCATCCCCACGTCCACCCACCCCACAGTAATCGCTGCTTTTGCCTTCTCTGTAATACCACTAGATTCTCTCCACCTCTCAAGACCTTTTTGTTGCCTATCAAGCCTTTTGCGTTCTCTACCCCTCTGTATCCCTAAATACCCATCTTCTCCTCCTTTGGCTGCCCCTCATGTCCCCTGGCCACAGCATTTGGCTGAGCAGGAGGCAAGACAAGCATCAGCCAGTGGGACAGCCCAGAGGCTGATCCACTGATGGCAAACCAAAGCCTGAAACCTCCCTACTTTTCCTTCAACAGGAACAGTCATACAGATGTATTTCTTCCTCCCAGCTGAAAAAAACTTGTCAGAAGTTGGTATAACTGATTTAACAGTTTCTCTCTCAAATTCTTTAAAATATTCAACAAGCTCAGAAGATGTTAAGGGACTGGGAAGCCGGTCAGGAGGAGGCCAGATATGCTGCCTGCTTGCAAAAACCAGGAAAAAGCCCCAAGGCATGGGATAGCTTCAAGCCTTCCTTCCCTTCCAAAAGTAGTAGCTTCTCTTCTTCCTCCTCAACTCCTCATGCCCCTGGGGTGAAGACTCTAGTCACAGTCCCAGCCAGGCCTGGAGCATCCTCCTACTTTTCCTGATGTACCCACACAGACACACAAGGGTGTGTTTGGTGGAAATGGGACTCCACAGAGAAAACCAAGCCCCGGGTCAGTGGCTAGAGACAGAGCCCATCTCACTGTGTCAGGTGGCTGCGAGGACCCCCACGGGTGGAGCCCCTGCCTCCACCTGTGGGACTCAGAGACGTTGCCCTCCCTGCCAGCAGCAGGCAGAGCAAAGTAGGAGCATCCCAGTTTAAGCATTATCAAATGCAAGATCTTTATCTCTGGCAACCCTGCCTGCTGTGTAACACCATATATACTGTATGTGTGCTACACTGGCATTTTCTACCTTTCTGAATTTAAGGGCCACAGAGTCATTTTAAAAAAAGCTAGGGATCTCCTTGCATCATGCAGCGAAAACAGTTTTTTATTTACAAGTAGAGCTGCTTCTTTATGCTAACTTCCTTTTTCTGATCACACACTTGTACGCATGGGTACGTGTTCATATTTATAGATATCTTTTTTTTTCCTTTTTTTTTGGTAGCTGCTGTGCAGATCACCCTCTGGTTGCTAACAAACTGGGACTGGAGACTCAGAAATGCTGGTCCAGTTGATGAATTAATTCCCATTCATGTTGCAGTAGGACAGTAAGCAAATGCTGATCGCTGGCTCCTGTGGGACTTGAAGCACCTCATCCCTGCCTGAGATATGGGTGAGACAAGGGAGAGCAGTGACTGCTGTTTCCAGCCACTCTATGAACGCTGCTGGCATCTATTCATGAGACACCAGGGACATCCTTGTGAGACACATCCTTATGGAGACCTGCATGTCACAGGGGATTTTTCACTCGCTAGAATTGTATAGATCACACATAGACACACACACACTGAAGTGTGAAGACTGAGGCAGAGCAGGGACAGACCTGGGGCCAATCCAGACAAAGGCCAGCTCAGGGATATCCCCCAGCCCACAACACAGGCTTCCCCCAAGGAAGGGATCCCACAGCCCTGGGAGTGATGCCTGGACCCAGCTTGTGCCTGCCTGGTGTAACCCCTGCACCTATGCTGCGTGGCAGATGACAATGTCACACTTTTTACCACACAACGTCATCAGTTCTGCGATGTGGACTGAGCTGTCATCATCCTTATGGACAGCATCTGCAACTGCAATGAGTGTAATATTTTAAAGGCCTTTCTTTAGGCCATTGAAGTTCTTGGAGAGTAACAGAAACCACAGACATACGCAGGAACCTGACTTCTTCGGGACTGTTTTGCTGAGGATGTTTTTGCAGCATGAAGGAAAGAAGTGCCGCTCCACCTGACCTGTTTTCCCATTTTTTCCCAGTGTTACAGACAACCTGTGTGTGCTATCCAGCAAGGTGGTAAGAGCTGGGAGTGGAAAGGCTGCACAACTGCTCCCCCATCATTTGCCTGGGAGTACATGACTATCAGACACTGTTAAAGAAAGGAGGGGTAATAACAAGCCCCTCTGCAAATCTGTTTGCATTTGGCTCTGTACTTATGTGCCTCACTAAAGAAGAAACCCCATTTCTTGGTTTTTTCTCCCTTCAGCCCTTGCTGCCCCTGTTCATTTTGTCCCTGGCCTGAGCATTATTTAAGGGCTTCCCATTACCTGCATAATTTAAGAAGTAAATAAAAAATATTGCTGTGCACATGCATAAAAGCACTGAGTTGGTGATTCACCATGTTGAAGATAGCTTATTTAGCAACTGGCAGAATACACAGCCAGTGATATATGAAAGCTGGGCTAGAGCTGGTGAGAATGACCAATTTGATGGTCAAACCTCCCTACCACACAGACCTGATGCTGAAC